TCAGGAGAGTTTTTTTTTAAATTTTACTTTGGGAGAAATACAAAGACAGCGCTTTGAAGATGAAAGAGCACAGAAGACGTTTAAGGAACAGTTAATTAATAAATCTTTGCAAGGTGCTGCTGAGGTATCAAGTCAACCAAAGGGCGATAACGATGACTTGGAAACGTCTGTTAGGGTGGAGATCAAGGCGGTCCAAAAAGCATTCACCTACAGCGAGATTATGATTTTCTACTTATAATTCCTCCTACGAGTGTCACCATAAAAGAACCTATTAGCTGAAAAAACAGGATCTTTTATGATGAACAGTTTCGGAGATATAACATCTCCCTGCCTAACGCCTCGCTGCAGAGGAATCGCCCTCGTGCTCTGGTCCTGTACCTACTCGGACCGACATGGTGGCGTTTTTGTACAAGCACTTCAGCACCTCGATATACCGATAGTCAATACGGCACCGCTGGAGAAACTGTAGCACTGCCCAAGTCTCGATCGAATCGAAGGTCTTCTCATAGTCCACGAACGCCAAGCTTAGTGGCAAGTTATACTCCTCAGTCTTCTGATTTATATTAACTGACTGATTAACCCGACGGATTAGCAAGCTGAAGTGGCAATGGGCAGGGCACATAGTACGCAGAACTGACGGCCGATGGGGCAGTAAGATTCTGGAGTGGAGGCCGCGTACCGGAAAACGCAGCGTGGGACGTCCACCTACAAGGTGGACCGACAACATCATAAAGGTCAGGAAGGCGCTGGACGCAGACCGCTACCAACCGGGTAACATGGAAAGCATTGGGGGAGACCTATGTTCAGCAGTGAACGTCCTATGGCTGAGATGATAATGATGAGGTTCTTTAGTAATCATTTGAGATGTTCAATGAATGATTATGATACGTTAGGATGCTCTCAGTTTCTTACGTTCCTATTTTCTAGACACAAGAAAGTATTTTTTTTCATTTTTTTTTTCAAGTAGTTTTTAAAGTTAGATGATTGTAATAAGCAAAAATTTATCCTTATTAAAGTGATTATAAACAAAAAAGAGTTTATTTTAATTTACATTATATTGAAAAAAGCAGTATTCGAAAAAATCGTTTTATCCGAAGTATTCGAATACCATAAATTTTAGTATTCGAAATATTCGGATACCAATATCGAACGAATAATGCATGCCCTATGAGTAACTCTCTATATAGTCCAGTCAATAAAGCATTATAGATGGAAAACTGTAGAACACAATTTCTGACTTCAGGACTTTATTTAGACTAGTTAGGAGGTGAACATAGCAAAAGTCCCCGCCCTTAACCCTTGAGCCGGCGGGGAGAGGGGGGTTTAAAGGTGCCACTTTTCGGTTTTTCGCTTAATCCTCGGAAACTATGCGTCCTAGTGACATGACCACTTTGAACCAAAAAAAGCATATTCAATTTGCTACAGGTGAAATAGACAAGTTTTTCTATAAATTGTATAGTTTTCGCGGCATCTGCTCTAGAAGGTCAGTAATATTGGAAATTTTATTTTTGTCTTACATGTTTCCATCANGACTGGACTAATAGAGCTGTATACATTTTGTTGGTAGCCGGCGACTGGTTGCGCCGCCATGGTGTCCCGGTGAAATATAGCCGTTAGACTCCTAAGCCAGGATCTACAGCTCGACCGTTTAATAAAAACCCAACACAAAAACGGGACTATACCCACCTCTCTTTCCCACCACTGCAACTCCAGTGTAGTCAGGATCTACAGCTTGACCGCCAATAAAACCCAAAAGAAAGCCAAGTTTGTCCTGGGGGAAAGTTAAACTGACTTTGGACCCGCAACGAAATTAATCAGAAGATCATTGGAGTTCTAAGTTAAGATTCCACATCCTTCCAGTGCAAAGCAGATGATAGGTTACAAAAACAAAGGCTAACCTTTAAGAAAAGATATACACTACGCACACCTATCTTGTGAAGTATTAGCTACCTGCCAATAATATATTTTTACTTAAAAGCACGGATTGTTTTCCTTGTTTTCTGCATGAGTATAGGTACACAATCATTTATGTAAATATACTCTATTCCAGACGGTGTAAAGGCGAAAGTGTATTTCCGTGGTACGCCGTACTCGCGTGATGGCCGCACGTACCTGAAGCTTCAGCAGCTGAAACTGGACTTCAGCGTGAGAGACATCCAGATGGGCGTCGAGAACTTGCACAACAGCAACGCAGTTCTGCGTAAGTATTGATGGATCCACCGAATATTCCCATTCCCAGTCCCCTCTAAGGTTGTCTACAGGGATGATAACTGATGAATCATCTTCCCAGTTGTCACCCCGGTGACATATCTTCCCAATATCGTTCACTTCTGAGGGCTTGGTGTGAGTTTACATCAAACGCGCTCACTGGTGACTTTAAAATTATATGAAAATTTTAGTTCTGGAAAGTTTCCGCTTGGGGCGCTTGTACAATCCGTCATCCATTTAATGACTTTTTTTACGCGCTCACTAGTGAGGGCGTTTAATATAAACTCACACTCAGCCCTCTGATTCATACCAAAGGGGACAACTGGTTACTACTGGCTAATAAATCTATATTGCATTATGGTAGAGGTAAAAGATTATGAGACATGTAAAGGCCCTGGACGCAGGCCGCTACCAACCGGGCAACATGGAAAGCATTGGGAGAGGCCTACGTTCAGCAGTGGACGTCCTATGGCCACAGATAATATAATACTCTATGGCTGAGACGATGATGATGATAAAAGGCTCCTTAAGAGCAAAATTTTTTATTTTTTATCATAAGTCTTTTTTATTTATTTAAATATTTGACGATTTGTAAGCACTATAATTAATAGTCTATGCAAATAAAGACATTTTGATTGACTTTAACAGAGGCAGCCCTAAACCTGTTCATCAACACGAACGCGCAGGAACTCCTCAAGGAGATGAAGCCGGAGCTCAAGCGGGACCTCGCCGACAAGATGTCGCGCTTCCTCGAGCGGATTCTTGACCACATCCCCTACGACGACTGGATAGTCGACTAGAACTGTTCCAACAAGCGTAGTCTAAGAAAGAACAAACTTCAAGGCTTAGAGCACTCGCCCACGGCGACTTTTTAGGATAGCTACTAACGCGCGTTAGTCGCATGCAACGCACTACAGACGTGATGCCAATTAGTGTTCATATCACACATCAATGATGAGCAATAAACCAATCTTTTCATAATACGTAATGTTAAAATCTGATTTTCTAGCTGTTGCAAAGTTACTGATAGATCTAATTTAAATGTTGTAACTAAACTGTAATAACTAAGGTACGAGTACTTACGAGCAAGTATGTCTTATTTTTTTACTTCCAAAAGTAAATTAAGTAGCAATTAAGTTATTTATTTAGACAAACTTAGTTTTAAGATTGACAGAACATTGACCGACTTGGTTCTTTCATGACCAGGGTAAGGCAATGTACCTACGTACACTAACTAGGTTAAAATTTTGTAATGGTAAGACACTAGAAAATATGTAATAAATAAAAATTTCTACATACGAGTACGTTTTATTGTTATTTTTAGGACGTGGTATTTTCTAGCTTGATATAGAATGGATATTAAAGCAATTTGGTCAAGTCTTCGCGTAACAAATCCCTCAAAGCCTTAAGACGACAGCCTGAAACGACTGCTTAGAAGAAGTCATGTCTTAATGACTTTATGGGGACGTAGGTAAGTGTAAAGGCCGTAGGTTGCACACTTATCAACCTGGAAAGGGATCGTAACCGTATCAACTCGAGGCGGTCAGTATTCTTTGTATGAAACTCCATATTGCAACGCGCACACGCGCGTTAAAGGCGATGAAAACTCGTAAAAAACTACGGTGTTGATCCCTTTCGGAGTTGATACTCGTAAGTCTGCTATGACCTTAATAGTAAGATGCTCCTTGGATGCTTACAATACCAGTAACAATTTGGAAGGGCTAGGTTCTGGCACAGATGGCATAAAATGGTAGGTTGGGATTTCTATGAAGGATAGAGATTTCAAATAATTCTAAATTAAAATTTACAAGGAACTAATTATCTCAACGTTACAACTAAGAACAATGACAATTTCACCAGCCATAATACTCTTAGCCTGATTCCCCGAGTCGAGATGCAGCCCATTGCACAACTGCAACGTTGCGATACTTTGTTTATATAACGGCGACTACAAATCGATGGGCAACCATCAACGCATTACTACATGTGTACATCAAAACTAAGGTTGCATCACAAGGCCTTATAAAGGCGGAAGAACTATAAAATCCATAGACAAATGTTTAATTGCAAATAATAATTTGTAAACAAAGCAAAGTGTTGATATTTGATAAATGTCTGTATGTTTATATTGAATGGGTTTGCTTTTGCTCACAGTTACGAGTAGTAGATATCATTCGAAGGCGCAGGCAGAAGTGGTCTTAGAGCAAGTTTACCCAGAAAATGTCTTCTAGAATTTTCTCGAGTGTTTTGTGCCTTGAACTATATTATACTCTCAATCAATCAATCTCAATCTTTCGTATTCAAAAAATGCATACTAAAGAAATATTACAATATTTTCGGTCCCAATTTAAAACATAAAATGATCAACGTTCCATTGGTATATCGACGTTAAACCTTTATGCGTCAAACCAAGCGTCGGCTTGACTGAGCTTAATTTACAGAAATCGTGATTATATCCCTTAAACGAGCCTCTTAGTTTCATCAAAGGTACTATTTATTAAGCGCTCGCCTAAGACACTCGTCTTTTAAGGCCTATCAAAATCACGGGTTTATGTATATAAATGTCTAATATTAGCACAGCAAGTCTAATATTAACAAACACACCCACACATTTTAAAGTGATCAAGCACGAATAACTCCAAAATTGTTTTGTCAAGAAGGTAAAGCACATTACTAGTTTTTGCATCTGACGCAAATCATCTATGGTCAGCACAAGTCCTGTAGCGAATGTCGAGATACCATTATCATTTCGCACTTAAGTGTTCTGTTGCAACCATCTTGGGAGGGGAAGGCTTTCGCAGACCTTCGCATAGCGCGCTTGACCGACGCGTTTGTCTGACTCCGAACCGACCTACTGGACCTCGAAAATTTAAATTTAAACTTAAAAGTTTCAAACTTGGAACGCTCTATCTTTTTTAAAGACACCAAAATTGGAAACAGTCAAAGGAATAAATAAGTATGCATCTAAAAAAATACGCGTTCAGTGTGAGTGTGTTACTTCTGTGTGGTTTACAAACTTCGTGGACGGAAAACGAAGCCGCTGCTATTGGTGAGTTACTAGCTCATTTAACTGCATCTAGGAAGTATTAATAAAGCTAGCTTTAAGTTATTAAATAATTTATTCTGCACAGTTAAGCACGAACTTGCCACTACCTAGGTACGTACCTACAATTTAAATTAAATCGATATTTGTGTACCTACATTTTAGATGAACTTAAGTCAGTATTCAGTGTGATGTAGAGCAGTATTAGATATTTTTGTTCTATTAAAACCATCGCTGCATCGGTTGCTTACATGTAGGAAAGCTTTTTGAATGAAACAAAAATAATGTCTCTCGCCCTCTATTTTCAAGATTATATTATGAAGTCTATAATTAAGTATCTTTAATATTAGGTACCAAGGTGTTGATATAAAATTGAACAGCTTATAATCTACAACTGCCTACCTACTCGTAGAATAAATTAGTTAATTATATCAATTACTGAGAACCAAAAATACGCGACCCCGTTACCTCGATGTTGCATATGATATTACCAACATGTTAAGAAATCTTTTACCAAGAATCAACTTGGCCAAAATAATACGTTCTTATGCAATTCCATCTCTTTCCTCGACGTCAAGTCAAAATACACACGTTGTTCTATTGTTAAATCAATGTTTTGCAGCCATGTACTGTCAGCATCGTATACTTTGTGACACCCAAAGTAGCCAAAAAGTGCGCAACACGTCTTTGTTATAATGTAACAAACTATTTGACGCTGACTGTACTGCCGAGTTTTTTTTTCAGACAGGTCTACACTTACGCCCGTATTCACAAACAATACTATGAGGTCTCACAGTGCGAGTGGACGCATAGGGTGACACGCGAACCAATCACAGAGCTCTATTCAACGCTGTGCGTTCGATTTGCTGCTTCACCTAAGCAAGTATCGTTTGTGAATGCGGGAGTAATGTTTCAGGTGTTATTTCCATCTTTAAAGTTAACTTGACGGCTTTTTGAAGCTTTTTTTAATAAACTTAGATAAGGTCACATTATTTTTCTCATCTTTAGAGTTAGATTTTATGGAGGGTATTGAAGTTTTCAATTTGATAAACTCATTTAACTTAGTTATGGATTTTGGAAGTCGCAAACTCTCGAAAAGCTCAAAATCTTGCTTCGGCAGGTAACTTAAGCTTTGTGCTTTGTAAAAACTTAGGCTGAGTTGCGCCTACATAGTTTGACCGTAACTTTAACGATAACCGGTGTTATTTGTATAGAGTTTGATAGATTTTTGACGTTTGTTAAAGTAAGATGGTGCAATTCAGCCAGTGAAGCTCTACATTACGTAGTAAGTATGTAGGTACTTTTGATTTTTATTTCACACTGTAAGAGCTTTCGCGAAACACGCCGTGTGGTGATGTTGCTTTTTAACAAACATAAGGCCTCCAAAATGTGCGTTTGCGCAAAAACAGCGGACGCATTGAGTAAGCCAAGATAAGAGGCGAGCCATCACCCACCGGCGCGAATTGCTAACACAAAGGTCAATGATGTGTCAGAAATCGTAAAATAAATTCATCGAAAAAAAAAAACAGCCTTACGGCTGTTTTATACATTCAATACTTAATTCACACACAATTTTTTGCCATTTAAGTCAGCTTACTTTAATGGCAAAAACTTAAAAGCCTAGCTAGGCTTTATCTCTATAGAACTTATCTTTTTATCTTCCTATAAAGAACCTACATCTTCCTACGGTATTCTGCAAAGTTTTTGAACTTTATAACTACGGATACCTTTGCTTATTTAAGATATAACACCCAGCCTAATCTTCTGCCTGTTAATAATAAGATAACTTGAAAGCATTAGATACAATTTAAATATCAGAGCAGTTTTTCACGTCGGTTGGTAATACCCACGTCCCACACTATAGAAGAAAAAAAATTAAATAAGTAGGTATTACCCTACCAACTTAAGGCAAACAATTCAAGGATCTATCTACAAGTAAACAAATGACACATTATTATCAAAACCACAAGTGTAACTTGATTTTTCATAAAATTTTATGAATAAATGTTTACGATCACGATTTCACGAGCAACCTTTTATAAAAACATAACAAATTGCACAACAAATAGCACGTTGACAGTGTAAATTAATAAATTAAATAACATTATATAAATTGAAACAGTCATTATGTAGAGCAACATAATGTAAATTTATTGCTACATAACACAGTCTTAAGCTACTCGTATTCTTAGAATCATCGATCGTTATCTCAACACAAATTATATTTAAAAAAAAATATATTTTTACATCGGAAATCAAACGCACGCACCTTTGCCATTTTCACTTATCTTCACTACATAGTAAATATAAAACAAAGTTGCTTTCCGCTGTCTGTCCCATAAGTATGCTTATATCTTTAGAACTACACAACGGATTTTGAAAAAACACATGCATATTATACAAGGTGTTTGGTAAATGGGTATATGAGCCGACACTAGCCCATGTTAACATGGGCATATAAATGGTACATTTTTGAAGTCAGAAATTTGATATCATCATTTTATATTTTTTTAATTTTCATACAAAATAAATTTTATAAAATTCGATTTATATGAAAATTAAAATAATTTAAATGAAGATAATAATAATAATAATAAATACACTTATGCAATAAAGTGAACCAAAGATAAGAACAGAAAGAAAAGGAACACACAAGGTACAACTACTTATTATTATTCTGTGGTACAACTAGGAAGATATCAATTTTCTGACTTCACCATACCATTTATATGCCCATGTTAACATAAGCTAGTGTCGGCTCATATACCTACCCATTTACCTAACACCCTGTAGAAGATAAAAGCCGGGAAATTCCATTGCAACCGTGCGAAGCCGGGGCACACCGCTAGTCTAGGAATAAAAATAAACTGGTAGGTATTAAATATTAGGTAAGCCCAATGATGCATATTATGACAGTGCTATAATTAGACGTGCAAAACCGCAAATGTATTACCCAAATATAACCTCTAGAATGGAGATCTTAGAAACCGGATAAAGATTTTATTAAAACTATTAATAGATTTGGCGAGTTTGAAAAACGGCTCAAAATAAGTTAGTTCGACATTCTACCAACATTAACGTATTTATAAACCTACAATAAAATAAACTTCAAAGTTAGACTGTTTTCAAACAAAATCAGTACATTTACTTAGTAAGAGCAACTTAAGATGTTGAAAACATGTAAAAGCGCATGATCATGCACCCATACATGCACTCTTACGTCCATTACACCATAGATTTCAGATTGGGTTGCAACCCCACCCCACACTGTAACAACAAAGTACTAAGCACTCATGTATAGTTAAATGCAGCGAGTATACAGTTTTGTTGCAAAGTTACAAGCTGCTCTTACAAGGACAACGCAATACAAAGGTCTTGCGTCTTATACAGAGTGTCCCAAAAAGTAGTATCAAGCTGAAACGATAAGGTGCATGCCTGATTTTTTATTATTGTTAGATGAATATTAGGCCTAGCTGATTCACTATTTACATCCACAACACGAACGAATGTAAACTAAAATAGTTAAAAATCCTGTATGTTGTAAATGTTGTAAATCTTATCTCGAAAACAATCAAAAAGTCGCGGTGATTCGGGTAGCCCTAGCGATACTCTACCTCTGGGCTTCGGCTTGACACTACTTTTTGGGACACCCTGTATGTATTTGGGATGCATTACGTACGTGGTAGAACTTAGAACGCAAGGGCACTGGCTTTGTTTTTAAGGTCAATTGAACTTACAATAGGCATAGATTACGGAATACCTCTAAAGACGAGTCGAATGCTGATTCGTAGGTATCTGTTATTGAAATTACAAACCAAACATTTTCCTTTACTCTGATTTTGGTAAAAGTTGATGGGGTTAATTTCTTGAGTTTAAACTTCAGCTGGAACAGGACTTCTCTAAAATTCATTTTGCAAGAAAATGCATATGAGAACCGCGTTTTTAATTATTTTGTGTTATTACTTTCAGAAAGAATATTTTCGGCATGCAAGAAGAAAACCCCAGAATTCGATGTCTGCATGAAAAGAGCCTTCAACAAACTTCGACCGTACTTCAAAGTAGGTGAGTTGCAAATCAAATGAAATGCAAATTGAAGTGGAAAAACAAAATGAAATCTTGCTTCTTTAGTGTTATTAAATATGAGGGAGGGCCTCATCTCATTCACTTATCTTTATGAGGCTTAAATTTCATTCTTACAATGAAGTAAATAGAAATTTCAAGAAAGCGAACTATGTTTTCGTCGCCATACAAACCTCCATTAGGTATTATTTGCAATTTACACTTCAGGCATCCCTGAAATGGGCGTAGCGCCTTTCGACCCCCATTTCGCGCGGGAGGTGAAGCAGACCAGAACCATCTCTGGAATGGGGTTCACGCTCACCCTTCGCGACGTGTACGAGAAAGGCTGGATCACTTCTACCGTCACCAAATACAAGTAAGACTCAACAATACCTACTACAATAGCCCGGATTAGTAAGATCCCCGATCAGAACACTCGCAATACAACTAACTTAATGAAAATACTTAAGTACCAGAGATCTACTTTGAAGGTAGGTACTATGGTTTCGACAACATTCGAACTTTAAACCATTGAAACTGCGTGGAGAAATAAGTTCCAGTGTGAAAGTAACTACCATTACACGAATCAGTCCTTCAGTCAGCCTTCACAGATGCATACTTAGATAGGTACTAATAGTAAAACAACAACTTTTACCAAGGGAGGATTTATAGATTTATCAGATTTGATTGACCAAAACTTAATAATACGAGTTACTAAATAAAAGACGTTTTAAATCTATGTCTTATTGTTACAGGACTGACTGGGATAACGAGCGCATTATTTACTCACAATATTTCCCTGAAAAATGGTTAAATGGTGACTACGAATTCAAAGTAAGTACCAAGGGACTTTCCATGTCATATCAGTGCTGGTGCCTGTGACACACTTTCTATCACTGCTCGTTAACGTTCGAAACAATAACAAATTAAAGATCCCTTAAATGTAAGTATACTCGTAGATGATGACATATTAAGTTAAACACTGTGGCATAACTGCATAGGTAAATGTAGTGTAACTTAGGTACCAGTGTGTCTTGGAGATGTCGCCATTTTATTGTGTGTCTACTGCAAGCTCACGAAATGAATGTAATGTAGTTGTAACAGGTGTTAAGTATTCAACAAAATATTAGGCTGTACCTACAAAAGAATAGGATAAGGGTATCTCAACATGCTCACTCAAAATAAATGCCCGGACACCCGGACAGGCTTTTCAGGAACTTGTCTTAACAGAAAGTATTCAAAAATCCTTAACTCTGCTGAAAATTTCTTGTTATGAAGATGCTGTTTCACAATCAGAAATTACTATGTCCTACTTAAACGGCTTAAACCTACGCACAGTATGTTATGAGACTGTATAATCTGACATTCTCATTTATTTGATGAACCGTATAGAGCTCAGTTATACAAACATGATAGTAAAACTCCCGTTTGAAAATTCCAAGTACACTCGCGAGCAAAACTATGGAATCACTTACATGAAGCTGTTTCCACGCGAACTTGTGTACTAACGAATTTGTTAGTAACAAAAAAAGTGGCACCATTTTAAAGATTAAACTTTTATCTTTAAATTGATACCAAATTCATTTAAATCACACCAGTATTTAAAAAGATATCCCGGCTGATGTGAAGAAGTAACGAAAAAGACATGTATGAACTGTTTGATACGTCGCGAGTTGCGGCCTATTTACCCCCTATAAAAGCACGCGTTTTTAGATTTTTGCTTTCATACGTTGATTCATACACATCTCCGCTTCTTTTGACACTTTACCTGGGATTCTACACCTTCAGAAGCAGCACAAATCGTTGCACTATTGCAAGAAAGGCTCAGCCAGCGGGCTGNAAAATGTTTGCATATATTAAGGTATAATTGAGAAAAAAAATAAAAACGAAAATCACTAAAATAATTTTTCCTAATTAACTGAATGCGTTCACGAAGCACTTAATACGCTTATTACGTGTAGTTTTAAGAGCTCTATGAAGTATTATAACAATTCTGAATTAAATGTTATTAGTTAACGAGTGAGAATATTTTTGCATAATTTTGAAGTAAAAAAATAGGTAACTTTGAATTTTTATACCGCGAAAACTACGTGGAATTTTCAAACGGGAGTTTTACTATCATGTTTAGGTATATAACTGAGCTCTATACGTTTCATCAAATCAATGAGAATGTCCGATTATACAGACCCATAACACACTGTGCTATAGATGACCCACGCTGAACTGTCCCGCCAAACTCAATGACAGGGGGGCGCTACCATCGTTCAACTATATGGTTTCCAACATGGCAAAAATCTGAACCAGCGATCCGGTATTGACGGTGGCGCCCCACTGTCAATGTCATCGACAGGACAGTCCAGTATTTTGGAACTATACGTTACGTCTTGATAGAAGACAACCCATGTAAGCGTTTGGTAGGGTTGCCATCCGTCCGGGTTTCCCCAGCTTTGTCCTAGTTAGGGCGTCTGGGGTGCGTCCGGCCAGGGTTTCATAAAATTTTGGGCTGGGTTTCCGGACTTTTGTAGTCCGGGTTTAAAATTTTTAGTCTTAGGCCAATGCCGAGCGGTGCAACTATAAGTTTTTATAAAATCTGTTGAGATTCTTCTGGGCTCTAAAATCCGGGGTTTTCACGCGTCTTGTCCTGGTTGCCAAATTTTAGAGAATGGCAACCCTAGCGTTTGGAAGTGTTCGGACTGAGCATCTTTTTCCTAATGTTCCTTCTTTATACCTCAGGGCGACGCTTTCGGCCTCGGCGTGATACGGACCGGACGATGGAACCTGACATTGCGCGACTACTCCCAGACGACGCGAATCAAGCGCAGCGGCGCAGGAGTCGACGTGCACGTGGAGGTCGACCACATTGGCGATATGGAGATACACGTCGGCAACTTGTTGAGGGGCAACGGCATTTTGGGTATGTTAAGTAGCTCCTAACTAAATGTGATCACAACCTTTTTGAGTGCTGGATCCGCGTCTGTTACTCCACTGATAATGGCCCAATATACTTTTGAATGCAAGATCCACGGGAACTCAATTTTTTTAAATTGAATGTAGGTGTTTCAATAATGTCACTACTAAAGTTCCAGGTTCTAGATTCCTAGATTAGAACCAAAAAGCCTATTGCGGAATTTATATTTGTCTGATGTGTTACCTTGACGCATCAGAACAGAATCGGTTTCCTAGATTTCGTAAGGTAGTTTATACTAGTGTAACTGTTGTGCCGTATCGTGATAGCTTCTGACGTCGTAAACTAAAAATAAAAAACCGATACGTTTCTGATGCGTCACGACACTGCACATCAGACAAATATAAATCCACCTTTACACTATTATGATTTCCAGAGCGAATGCTGGACCGAGTGATCAACGCGACGTGGAAGCCAGGGTTTGCGGTGATCCGGCCGCTCATCAACGACCTCGTCAGCACCGCCTTCACGGACATCTGGTCGCACTCCTTCAAGAACTTCCCCTTGGACCAGTTCATCAAAGATTGAGTGAACTAAAGAACAATTATAGACTGTGATACATCTGCAATAGCCTCGATAAACTTAGACAGTTTTCTAGAGTTTAATTTTTACGCATTACCTACGTAAGAAGCTGCACTAAGTATGTCGGTACCAGGCTTTTCATTTCTTAGTGAAAGTGTATAATAGGACCAACAAAGGAAAACAGAAAGGAAAATCCTTCAGCTTGTATGATGATAAAGCCATAGCAAAATCGTGCCAGTAATAGGTTTAAACAATTGTGATTGCAGTTATGTTGTATGTGTATTGTGTACCTAATTTAGAATAAGCTTTGTTTATGTAAGTAAACATCTGTATAAAATAATTACCTTCTAGTCAATGACTTTGGCAAGCGCTTCGCATTGGAGGGGGTAAAAAGAAAGACCGTATGTATATTACATATCTCAATATTATATTTATTAAAAAATATAACCTAACTATATATATGACTTTATATTTAAATTCAATCAACAAATAACTCGCACGTTCGTCGAAACTGGAATATTCAACCTCAGTCTTCCAACACAAATGAACCCAAGCCAACAGACTCGCAACAACAACTGCGTCCCTCGAGCCTCACTCCATAAATACATACATATATTATAACATTGCACCTTCAATTTTTCATATTATAACCCAGAAATAGTATTACACAAAAACATGCCATCAAAAAGTCTTATTTTTCATTTATAGCACTGTGTTCCGTTTAGTAACATATAAAACTTCGAATACAACCCATTCATTGACAATGCTTTCTTAAGTCTATGCCAAGAAGCAACGTGTACTCTACACAACAAAATATACATAAGTACATAGATTAGTCAAACCGAGAGTCCATCTGGTACGAAGCGTAATTCTGTGAGATCCGTGTCATCGCACGGCAACACAACAACACGAGGGGAACAACAAATATTGTCAGAATACTACTTTAGGACCCTGTGGACCGTCATAATGACGCAACAACTTTTATACGGACTACAATCGTTGTAACATTTGATTATTACTAGTCCGAGTAGAATGTTAAACCTGGACCGTATTGGAGGCGAATGCAAAACTCCTTGATGACAGTTATGCTAATGGCAGGTTTTGCGGGCTTCGTTCACATCAGAGCGACCTGACATGAACACAATACTGGCTGGTATGACTTATGCAAGCGTAACATGAGGGTCTCGCCAATACAAACACACTACATCAGTTACAGAGTTTACAAAAACATTACAACAATCATTAAAATTTTTAAAGTCCGCTTAGGAAGTAGGTATTTTTTGCCAAACAATATTACATAGGCGTTGGTTTGATATAGTATAGGCGTTTCAACAGCACATGCACATTTGATATCATTTAATACGGCAATTACCCAGCCAATGCGACGAAGCTCAGACAAAAATGTAAATGTGCGGTTACCTTTATCAAACGATAATTGACAGTAAACAATAGTTTTTTCAAATGTTATAACTAACCAGTCATCAGCATGTTTTATTGCATATTGAATTTCTGCAAAAATGCTATGATAACAAATCAAATTTTAACACCCTATGTATTATTATTACAGTATATGCCACGTCCAAATGTACAATTCCATGACAAACTTTTATGATATCTATTTCTGTGTACAATGTTCCAAACTATATTAGTGTATTTTTGTACATTTCACAAATTTTGATTGTCCATTTCCAGATTATGTTTAAAAATGTAAAAATAGTGATAAGCATACCCCTGTTTTATTACTTCACCTAGTAGATGGATCAGAACCAGCTATGATTTACGACAAATCGTTCACAAAGACAATAATACATTAAAAGAAAATCATATACAGTGTGCCAATGTAGGGGTACATTTTACAGTCTCATTATCAGGAGTTACAAAATCTTTACCATGTTACAAACAAAGTATCGATCGATGTCAACAATGGAAGTAGCGTAAAACCTTAAACTAAATTACGAGAAAACTCTTGTTAATTTGTACTTCCTTTTCTCGTACGTTTGGCCCCAGAATTTGTGTCACAAACAATTTTGTATACAACTAAACAAAACGTCGCCACACCGCGAGGCGTCCCACGCCGCGGGCGCGACCAGAGCCGCGCGCGCACAACAGTGCCCGCACTCTTAGCATCTGTCATCATCAGGTATCTAAATTGTTTTTGACAAATAAACCACCACAAAAACCTGCACAGTTTTGCTCCAAACATTCCACAAAACAGCTCAAGCTTCTGTAGAACTAAAACGAAAAAAATATAAAATACTATCAAACTCAAGAATAAAACTTAATCGTTAACGACATCGAAACAAAAATGCGTCCATAAATTCATTTACAGATTTAATTTCATTCAATAGTATCAGCTAAAACATGCACTGTGCATAACATGTTCCCCGGAGGAGCACGATCTCACAGGACCAACCTAAATAAAATGCAGTAGGTTTAAATAAATAAAGATAAATTAATACTATATTGGATGTGCGTTCCCTTCGAGAGGCCACTGTGGAAAACGAAGGTTTCGTATACATAAAGATTTAGCAGGACCTCTAAAACAAATGTAGCCAGAATGATAAATTTGTAGGTGTTGTAAGTTGGACGCTACAACCTGCCGAATGTGGCCCCTCAGATGAACTATGTCAAATACGAAATTACTGAATCTGACCAAATAAGATGATTTTGATGAATGGTGATATTTAGGAGGTAAATCGTAGGGCTACATACGAAAATAAGAGCTCTGGATAGTTACTGCAAATAAAGAAAATCCAATCAGACGATGGGCCCTCAGTTCTTCAGTGCACAAATTTTACTTTAATGCTACAAATTGGAACTTAAGACTAAGTTTCTTTGGTAAGGTTCTAATTTTAGCAGAAGTAGTCACAATGCTACCCTGAGAGTACAGGGTTTATATATTTTACTAGTACAGAATAAAAGCTCTTGTAAAGTGAGCCCTCGGAACACACGCCAAAAAACAATTCCATGAGAAATATCTCGCCCAACTCATTGTTTAATAAAAATAGTTTACAGCATTTTTATGTACAAAATTTGCAGTTTAAAATTGTATTCATATATTATTGCTATATAAAGTATTTAAAGAAATATCTTGCTTCTTAAATTCTCCGTAATGATTTTGTGTATGTTAACCACATTGTCGATTTTTTTAGGAANCTACACACTGAAAGCAGCGAAATGAAAATCAACACAAGTGTCATCAATATGTCTGCTCACGCGCAGTCAACTGGCACTCCTGTATTAGCTGTCAGTGCCTTACATTAATGAGAATGACGTCCCCCACCGACAAATACTAGCCAAATCTGTACAACACTGAAGTTTTACTATACAAACAAATAATGCACGACTTTTTAGTATGCGAGAATTTGTACAGGCAAAGCGAAGGCAAAAGACGTCACAATATATCACAACAAATTTAGTTCAAGTCATAAAATACACTCGGCATCAAATAAATCGCACCTCCCGCGACAAGCAGTTATCAAACGTATGCATCTCCACTTCCCACCAACATTGGTACCATTTGAAAGCCTAGTTCTAAAGTTCATTTCATTAAAGGAAAGGTTTTTACCCCAAAAATGTGTCTTTACAAGGATCCAGAGTCACTTCTTCACAAAATAGGTAGTTACGCTATAGCCATTTTTTATGACTATAAAACTGATAAGTTGGGATTAATCGCTATCCATCTGTTAAAGAGGACACGTGAGATCTTTACTTGGTTTTATAACCATAAAAATTGGTCCAATTGATACCAGAGGTGAGCCCAAAGTGAGGTCTATTTTCAAGTCCCATTTATGGTAAATATTAATCATTTATTTAGAAATGAAATGTATTTTTCTTTAAGGATATTTATTGGGCTTTCAAATAACACCAATATTGTTGGGGTACCATGATTGTGTCAGAAGAAAATCTTTAAAGTTCGCGTCGCGGAAGGTGCGGTTTATTTGATGTTGAGTATACATCATATAAAACGTACAAGGGTTTATTAATGAAGTCAGATATTCAAAAGGTCGGTCATATACTGAGTGTTTTAGACAGCCTTCTAAACGAGACTTCTTCAGTTTATTTACAGACGACAGCCCATCAAGCTAAATACTGTGACATCATAGGTGATTGTAATAGATGCTATTTTGTAAATAACTGTCGCAGGTATAGACGAATTAACACTTTACTCTGTACTTTTACACAAAAATATTAAATAATGTGCCATCGTCTGTATTTAAAATCTCTGGTCATAGAAACAACAGAAACAATGGCCAAAAATGTAGAATACACTGAATAACTGAAACATACTGTTTACATTATAGACCATCACAAGATTTTGATACAATTACGCCGGTAGCACAGCTCCAAGTGAAACCATGACTGGGAAACGAATTATCACCCACATCATGGTTTTGGCATTCATATAGTTAGCAACGAGGCGATATTTCGCCTTATACCACTTAAACGTACATATATTGAAGGGTTGCGCTGTTTTACGGGGCGATGGTGTGCTACTAGCCGAAAGTATATCAAATTTAGATATGAGGTATTATGTTAATTCGCTTCTGCCAGGATAAATAGGAATTGTTCGGGAAACAGCTGTAAAAACTACTCAAACTCAAGTGACTTAGGTATTCAAACTGGGCATCCAAAAATTCGTAAAAGAATAGTACATCCTGGCAGAAACGGGACAAACATCCAACACTTTAGGATAACAATAAAATTCTTTAACAGGCGAACCCAAATACCCCCGTGTTTGGTAGCTGCCTTGACCCATTATTTACAGTTATGTTTTAGTGGGATTCGTTAGTACTTCACGTCAATATTACTTAGTCTGACGTAAAGGAAAAAATCTTCTCAAGCATATCATTTTTAAGGTAGACTGAATTAATAAAACGACACTCAAAGCTGTTACTTCCGTTGTGGCGACTTAATTTTAATAGAAAATGTAAATATTTACAGGAAAGGTCACAATTCTTATTCACACTTCAAAACTGCGATGGGGGACAATAACAGGGTGTTACAGAATTGCCAACTTATCTGTGAAATGCACGTGATGTCCAGTCAGCGTCAAATAGTAAAAGTATCCAAAAAGTTCGCAACACGTATTTGTTACAGTCGTATTTGTTTGTACGGTCTCTGGGTGTCACGAACAATTTGACGCTGACTGTACTAAAAAGAATCTTATAAAATAAATGATGAAAGAAATCTTAAGTAATAACTTCTCCCATGCACAGATAAGTCGGCAATCCCTCAAATCTTACGCTACAATTAGTCTGATGGATACAGCACTGACACTGACAGTTAGTTGCACGCGAGTTAGAGATGAGAGCCGCGCCGTGTATTAGTAGATGGTTTGCTGTTAATGGCGGCCGCCGTGAGCTGAATCCCATGGTGCTACACGAGGCACTGGAGCCGCACGGGGCCCAGCTCGCGGCGCCCGCCCGCCCACACCAGTGATCCGCCGCCGCCGCCCACGAGTTGATGAAAGTGCACCGTGAGGTCAAGGACTTAGAGTAGGCGCACACCGTTGATTTTTCGTCGGCCGATAGTTTAGTCGGGCAGTTGATCAGTATGGGAGTGCGCACACTACGCCGACTCGATTTGGCCGATTCTTCATACAAATTAAAATCGGGCACAACTATCGGCCGACTAAAAATCAATGGTGTGCGCCTACTCTTAAGGTTGATTTGATTAGGCTGCGTCTCCACCAGATGTGCGATGGGTAGCGAGGGATTACAATCAAAACCCTCGCTGGTGGCACATTTCTGGTGGAAACGCAGGCTTAAGAGACTGCGCACATTATATGGACGGAACGGCAAGGGATTTTTAGGTGACGAATAATAATTTACCTTAGCGTCGAGCTATGGTTGAAATACGGTTTGACAAGCCACGGTATGCTTAGGAATACCGAAGCGGCAGCCTACATTCCAATTTCACTAGTAGCGTTAAAACTTCAAGTCACATCATTATTCGTCACCTAAAACTCCCTTGATATGCCGTCCCGATAATGTCACTTACGTGCGATGCTATGCGATAATACTCGCAGATCCTCACGCGTGTCGAAATCCGCATCACAGAAAAAAAGGCACTTATGACTGTGCGTTAAACTTGTTTTTCAACGTATGTGTCCATAACCCTCATGAAATTAGACATTTGATATAACTTATATTTCATGATATATTAATTATAAGAATTTATGTACAAGGGAAGTTTTGTGCAATATTAAAATATCACCAGATGTGAATGATGGGCGTAACATTTATCCCGTTAGACACTTGTCAGAGCGAACACACACCGAGTGTTGGGACGCATCCTCATAAAAGTTGCTAATTTGGCAACTATGTAATTTGAAAAATAAATATGCCAAGTATTCGCGTTACATCTTTCGNCCTACACAAGATCGCGTGGAAACAACTTCATGTAAGTGATTCCATACTTTTGCACGCGAGTGTAGTTTTCGCGGTATAAAAATTCAAAGTTACCTATTTTTTTACTTCAAAATTATGCAAAAATATTCTCACTCGTTAACTAAAACATTTAATTCGGAATTGTTATAATACTTCATAGAGCTCTTAAAACTACACGTAATAAGCGTATTAAGTGCTTCGTAAACGCATTCAGTCAATTAGGAAAAATGATTTTAGTGATTTTTGTTTTTGATTTTTTTTCTCAATTATACCTTAATATATGCAAACATTTTTAATTGCAAGATATAATCTGATATTNCGTATTTGACATAGTTCATCTGAGGGGCCACATTCGGCAGGTTGTAGCGTCCAACTTACAACACCTACAAATTTATCATTCTGGCTACATTTGTTTTAGAGGTCCTGCTAAATCTTTATGTATACGAAACCTTCGTTTTCCACAGTGGCCTCTCGAAGGGAACGCACATTATATTGGGAGGTCTGGCGGAAAGTTTCGCGATAACGTAGCGTCCTTACGTTCACGAGCAACACAATTCAACAAAGTATTTCCTACTGTATATTTTACAATGCTTTGCAATTTAGTCTGTGCGTGTATCACTCTGCTTGCAGAATCTTCCAATACTTTTAACATCTCAATTTGAAAATAAAATTATGTTATCTACATTAAGGATTTATTGCAAACAAGGGTTGTTCTATGGAAGCTGTATTACACTTAGCTACAAAAAATATTTTCAGTTAAGGCAACATATAAAAAACTTCCCTCATAAAATCCCCGGAATTAGTAACTTTGTTCCTAAATCTAAATACACAGTAGACCACGCTCGGGATCGGATAGGTACAGGTACGATACAAAACGAGTGCAGTTAGATTCCATAGAACGCCCGCCCTCATAGCCGCTCCCGAACCCTCCAAATTAACACTAACATTTAAAATTATCTGATATGCACTTATTTATAGGTTTTTACAATGACGTTTGTGCTGTACACTATACGATGCGGCGGAACGGAGAAGCGCGAACGTCGACGGATGTACTTATTATACAATATGGCAGTGAATCCAGATGAATCGATTATTTATTGTATATCGTACCTACTAAGTAAAACGGGAATAACTACAAAATATTGGCTCGCCAAGCGACATTTTTTCGCTCTTATATGAAGCACGAAATTCTCCCGTACGCATATTTTGTACATACGAGTTTAAATGGACGTCATTTGTATGATCTGGAGACACTGCAATGTAGTCGGTTCCCTGCCATTTTGTACTTACGCGATCAAATCATACCGAAATAAAATATACGGGCGTTCGCCGCGACCCCGTTCGGCCCGGAGCTATTTACATTGTTCAACTAAACGATCCCGTAATGAAACTTAAATATGTCAAATTCAGGTATCGACTAAATATTTGGCAAACAAGTGTGACAAACAGAACGTTATAATCGCAAACGATAGCCCTCAAAACGGCACGAATGTATGACAACGGTACACTAGAGCTAGCTTTACAAGTAAAATCGAAGGCCGCTAAGATATCACCGTTCATTATGTGTTAATATGTACAGACGCGGCGCCCCCCACGATTTGAGCGAGACTATGTACAACGGGGGCGCCGCTCCCACCATCGTCCATACAACTACCACTATGCGCCACCACAACACTTCACAACTTCATCTCAACAGTGTCACAGAGAATTCACGCTTCATATCACTCTACTATTATCACGGGCCTCAATTTATTCTACTATCAACCAAGGAAGACTGAAACTGTAACCTGTACATCAGTATTTTCACTTGCTTTCGATTCTCAGTCATGAAATATAAATAAGTGTCGTCACGTGACACGTGACTACGTGACATAAAACGTGAATACCCCGTGATAATTACATAACACGAGGAACTTATTACAACCTATGCTGGGAAGTTTATGTGCAGGCGAAATCAACTTTTAAAACTTATCACTTTAGCTACGATCGGAGAACGTGAAACTTGAAATAAATCGTCAGTGTCAATAATAAATAAATATACTTAGTACCGCATACTTTTTAGTTTGTGCCTGAACAAAACAGAATACCAATGTTATTTTTTAAACTTAACTATTTGAGGCCAACCAAGTTTTAGCATGTGCCCTCAATGCCAATACTGAAAATACGACATCAATAGTTTCAATAAGGTACATTTTACACTTTGTAATGACCGCAATATTCAAAATATGTACAATCAATTACATTACAAAAAACGTCGTTATCCTTGCTTTCAACCTCAGTTTTTAAATATTTTTACAGTAAGTACAAATCAGTGAAATAAATATTGCTTTTGATTTGATTGCAGAGATAGTAAGTCAATGGGTAAAAATTCATTATAATTTGGTCAACATTTGACAAATTCTACTTTTCTACTATCTTACTATTGATTATTTTTTATCAGTAAGTAGAATCTGTCAATGCTATTGACCCACCAAATCTGTGTAACGGACGTCAATAGGTAAAAGTAAGTAATGTAACTTCTATGAACCATCACCACAAATTCCTACCTCACTGTGAAAGAGACGATTATCTTTGATGTGGTCACAATTCCGTCATGCAAAGTACCCTATTTGTATTACTGTGCACTAGGAGCCGTCAAAGTTAGATTTGTGGAATAGAAAACACTAAAATGGCGTTAAGGAGTAGGCTCGACCATATTCACCCACTAATGAAACTTACTATTACTGACATAAAGGGTCTATTGAAACTTAGGCTAGACACGCACGGGTGATTTTTGTCGCCGTGACAGTATAGCTGTCCCTTTTCCACCTTTATGAAGAGAAAAAGAAACACATACTGTCACGGTGACAGTCACCCGTGCGCACCTAGGCTAACAGAGGATTCGGACAGCATCCTAGAGACTCACGGACGAATACTCACACTAAACAAAGAGGTTAATCGGTTACTAATATTAATGGGTACAAATCACAAATCTTGTGGACATGCCAGGCACAACATAAAATTTCAGGCCGCCAACGGCTTGCGCGGTTGATAAATTGCTTCAACCATCAACCAGTATCAAAAACTTCACTCTTGAATTTTCAACGAGATAAGTCAGCGTTCAACATTGTAACGTAAACGTTTAACAATTATTTCAAATGTTTAATCGGTAGTTTGGGTGAAGGAACTCTTTCAACAGCCGACAACAACGAGTCGCCGCCGGAATATTGTCAGGGCTTCTTTATGTGCAACTTCATAAAACCTAACCCAATAAGGTCCACTAACAGTTTGGAACTGATAGAGATGTTCTAAATTTTTTATCGATATCGTGGACAAGGGACATGCCAGGCACAACATAAAAATTTAAGGCCGCCAACGGCTTGCGCGGTTGATAAATTGCTTCAACCATCAACCAGTATCAAAAACTTCACTCTTGAATTTTCAACGAGATAAGTCAGCGTTCAACATTGTAACGTAAACGTTTAACAATTATTTCAAATGTTTCATCGGTAGTTTGGGTGAAGGAACTCTTTCAACAGCCGACAACAACGAGTCGCCGCCGGAATATTGTCAGGGCTTCGTTATGTGCAACTTCATAAAACCTAACCCAATAAGGTCCACTAACAGTTTGGAACTGATAGAGATGTTCTTGATTTTTTATCGATATCGATTGTAACGAGTCTGTCAGTATTCCGGCGGCAGAGTAACAAAACAGTCGCACCGTCGTGGGGTGGGCGTGGCCTAGAACTGGAAGTCGAACAGCTCCGACAGGCCCTCGTCGTGGTCGAGGCAGAAGCCGTAGTCGGTGGCCGACATTGGCGGCTCCAGCGCGAGGAACGGCTCAAGCTCCAGCGCTTCTGGAAAGCGACAGTCACCGTCAAAATCACTCGAGTGTCTAAGGCTGGGTTGCACCATCTTAGCTTAACTTTGACAAACGTCAAGTCTGTCTCCGTACAAAAAATACCGGTTAAAATGAGGTGGTGCAACTCAGGCTAAAGCTATATTCATTGGGCATAACTAAAATTTATTGTCTACTGATAGTATCAAATCATACTATCGATAGAACTAATAACAATGGATGGTTAGATTGGTTAGATACTAATCGATACGATCGACAGTCAAATATCGTATTTTTACAACACTATCTTGGCATAACAAGCCCTTGAAATTAATACTATAGCAACAGACAGTTCTCACATAGTTTGGGAGTCCTATAACATTTAATTCACTTAAAAATTACAATAACAACTTTCACTTGTGTTACTACACACNTTACACACTGACAGCAGCGAAATGAAAATCAACACAAGTGTCATCAATATGTCTGCTCACGCGCAGTCAACTGTCACTCCTGTATTAGCTGTCAGTGCCTAATTCCACTTACAATAATGAGAATGACGTCCCCCACCGACAAATACTAGCCAAATCTGTACAACACTGAAATTTTACTATACAAACAGATAATGCGAGACTTTTGAGTATGCGAGTTTTTACAGGCAAAGCGAAGGCAAAAGACGTCACAATATATCACAACAAATTTAGTTCAAGTCATAAAATACATCATATAAAACGTACAAGGGTTTATTAATGAAGTCAGATATTCAAAAGGTCGGTCATATACTGAGTGTTTTTAGACAGCCTTCTAAACGAGACTTCTTCAGTTTATTGACAGAAGACAGCCCATCAAGCTAAATACTGTGACATCTTAGGTGATTATAATAGATGCTATTCTGTAAATAACTGTCGCAGGTACAGACGACTTAACACTTTACTCTGTAATTTTATCTAAAAGTATAATTAAAATCTCTGGTCATAGAAACAATGGCCAAAAATGTAGTACATATACACTGAATAACTGGAACATTACTGTTTACATTGTAGAACATCACAAGATTTTGATACAGTTACGCCGCGCGGTAGCACAGCTCCAAGTGAAACCATGACTGGGAAAGGAATTAACACCCACATCATGGTTTTCGCATTCACGTAATTAGCAACGAGGAGAAATAACACATACGTATACGTACGTATTTTGAAAGGGTTGCGCTGTTTTACAGGGCGAAGGTGTGCTACTAGCGAAAATTTAGATATGATGAGGTATTATGTAAATTCGCTTCTGCCAGGATAAATAGGATTTTTTTTTTTTGAAACAGCTGTAAAAACTACTCAAGTGACTTAGGTATTCAAACTGGGCATCCAAAAGTTCGTAAAAATTAGTACATCCTGGCAAAAACGGGAAAAACATCCAACACTTTAGGATAACAATAAAATTCTTTAACAGGCGAACCCAAATACCCCCGTGTTTGGTAGCTGCCTTGACCCATTATTTACAGTTATGTTTTAGTGGGATTCGTTAGTACTTCACGTTTTACGTAGTCTGACGTAAGGAGAAAATCTTCTCAAGCATATCATTTTTTAAGATACACTGAATTAATAAAACGACACTCAAAGCTATGTTACTTCCCTTGTGGTGACTTAATTTTAATAGAAAATGTAAATATTTACAGGAAAGGTCACAATTCTTATTCACACATCAAAACTGCCGCGATGGGGGACAATAACAGGGTGTTACAGAATTGCCAACTTATCTGTGAAATGCACGTGATGTGCAGTCAGCGTCAAATAGTAAAAGTAGTCAAAAAGTTCGCAACACGTCTTTGTTACAGTAGGAATAAGGTTGTATTATCAATTTTTTGGTCTCTGGATGTCACGAACAATTTGACGCTGACTGTACTAAAACGAATCTCTTACAAAATAAATGATGAAAGAAATCGTAAGGCTGAGTTGCACCACCATATTTTAACCGTAAGAGTAACAATAGCCGGAGCTTTTTGTATGGAGTTTGACAGATTTTTGACGTTTGTCAAAGTTAAAGTAAGATGGTGCTACTCAGCCTATGTAATAACTTCTCCCATGCACAAATAAGTCGGCAACCCCTCAAATCTTACGCTACAATTAGTCTGATGGATACAGCACTGACACTGACAGTTAGTTGCACGCGAGTTAGAGATGAGAGCCGCGCCGTTACGTGTATTAGTAGATGGTTTGCTGTTAATGGCGGCCGCCGTGAGCTGAATCCCATGGTGCTACACGAGGCACTGGAGCCGCACGGGGCCCAGCTCGCGGCGCCCGCCCGCCCACACCAGTGATCCGCCGCCGCCGCCCACGAGTTGATGAAAGTGCACCGTGAGGTCAAGGACTTAGAGTAGGCACACCGTTGATTTTTCGTCGGCCGATAGCTTAGTCGGGCAGTTGATCAGTATGGGAGTGCGCACACTACGCCGATTCGATTTGGCCGATTCTTCGTACAAATTAAAATCGGGCACAACTATCGGCCAACTAAAAATCAACGGTGTGCGCCTACTCTTAAGGTTGGTTTTATTAGGCTGCGTCTCCACCAGATGTGCGATGGGTAGCGAGGGATTACAATCAAATCCCTCGCTGGTGGCACATTTCTGGTGGAAACGCAGGCTTAAGGGACTGCGCACAATAGCGGGACGGAACGGCAAGGGATTTTTAGGTGACGAATAATAATTTACCTTACAGTTTCGACGCTACGGTTGAAATTGATGTTAATGGGTTTGACAAGCCACGGTATGCTTAGGAATACCGAAGCGGCAGCCTACATTGCAATTTCAACAGTAGCGTTAAAACTACAAGTTACATGATTATTCGTCACCTAAAAATCCCTTGGCATGCCGTCCCTATAATGTCACTTACGTGCATCGCGGATGACCGCTGCGATCTGATAGATGCGATAATACTCGCAGATCCGCACGCGTGTCGAAATCCGCATCACAGAAAAAAGGCACTTATGAGTGTGCGTTAAACTTGTTTTTCAACTTATGTGTCCATAACCCTCATGAAATTAGACATTTGACATAACTTATATTTCATGATATATTAATTATAAGAATTTATGTACAAGGGAAGTTTTGTGCAATATTAAAATATCACCAGATGTGAATGATGGGCGTAACATTTATCCCGTTAGACACTTGTGAGAACAAACGCACACCGAGTGTTGGGACGCATCCTAATAAAAGTTGCTAATTTGGTAACTATGTAATTTGGAAAATAAATATGCCAAGTATTCGCGTTACAACTCTCGGTGTGCGTCCACCCTTACAGACACACTGAAAATCACAGACATGTTAGTGGTAGTCAGTCATAAAGCTATTTCATGAAAATGAGATGACGGTGCTAAGTGATAGTGACAGACAAAAGCATGCGAATAAATTCAATTGATACGCGACGTGTTCTGAAATACCTATTTAAAACAATTTTCAATGTTTTCATACTTCAAGTCAAACACATTTCATGAATTTGGCTGTTGTTTTACATTAGATAGAACTATCAAAATAATGCGAGATTGATTTCGTTCAATCCATGTTTTCAACAGTCAAATGTGCACATTCTACGCTATATCTTCAGAACGCGCCTCGTATAATAGAAATTAGAATAATGTACACAATATACAAAATGTCAAGACTTGCTGAATCTTCTGTCGCCGATCCCGTCGCGTCGCGCAGCTAGAACTCTGACTGTGATGTGATTCCAACACAAGTCACAGGCTGAGTGCTAGCTACGAAACGCGCAATCCTCCATCTTCCTCTTCCAATACCAACTTGCATAATTCTGACATGATAATCCAAAAATAAAAAATATCACTTCATTTTTCAACATTTGACACTTATCAATACGTTAGGCCCAGAACGGACGGTGAAACGCAACTGCAACGAAACTGCAACTTTGTGATGATTCTGATGAATGAAACTGGTCGCGTCATGTGTGGTCTCTCAACGGACGCTATGGCAGAAACTTAGATGCAACTCAAAAGTAACTAGCAGTTGCAGTTTCGTTGCAGTTGCGTTTCACCGTCTGTTCTGGGCCTTACTTGTACACATTTAATTTTAAATGGTGGCAAAATTATTAAATGAACCGCAACATGAACGGAACGGAAGGCGCCCGCGCATGACTGGAGTTAACGTGATGACTCATGTTTGTAACCAAATACATATTACTTGCCTGGCGCAAAAGTTCCGTTTCTACAGCTTAGATATTATTTTTATAAATATCTAATTTGAAAATGGCAATATGAAATAACAACTGTGCTGCTTTGCATTGGTGATCAGCGAATTGGTGCTTATCGGAAGCTTCTGAAGTATCGAAAGAATCTGCTCTTATGAGGCTTAATTTGACTATTTTGGGCACGTTGTCGATGCAATATCTCTAATCGCCAATGCTAAAAAAAAGCAAGAGCCCCTGTGACAAGTTGTATTGATGGGTTTAACACAGACCGTCCTATTCGCATTTCGTCACGAATTCGAATCCGAATGCGAATGAGGCGATTTTCGAATTCGTGACGAAATTCGAATGAGACGGTCTACGTCAAACCTAGTCATAACAAAGTAGTGTGGTTTAGTACCTGATTCCTGATCTTCGGTCTGCAGTTGGAAGCGGCCGCCGCCCATGATGGGCGCGAAGTCGTCGCTGTCCGCTATCAACGCGTTCCGCAGCCGACCTCTCGCCGTGCCGTCTGTTGGCAACAAAATAAAGAATAAGCTACAATAGAATCGCAAAAANTGTGATCACAACAAACAATTGACACAATATCAATACGTTAGGCCCAGAACAGACGGTGAAACGCAACTGCAACGAAACTGCAACTTTGGGATAATTCTAATGAATGAAACTGAAAGTTTCAAACTGGTCGCGTCATGTGTGGTCTCTCAACGGACGCTATGGCAGAAACTTAGATGCAACTCAAAAGTAACTAGCAGTTGCAGTTGCGTTTCACCGTCTGTTCTGGGCCTTACTTGTACACATACGTTTAATTTTAATATGGTGGCAAAATTATTAAATGAACCGCAACATGGACGGAACGGAAGGCGCCCGCGCACGACTGGAGTTAACGTGATGACTCATGTTTGTAACCAAATATGTACATTTTACTTGGCGCAAAAGTTCCGTTTCTACAGCTTAGATATTATTTTTATAAATATCTAATTAGTGAAATGGCAATAGGAAATAACAACTGTGCTGATTTTGGCATTGGCGATCAGCGATTGGTGCATATCAGAAGCTTATCTGCTCCACTGAGAGGCTTAAGTGTTAAGTTGAATGGAAAGTTGAAATTATTTTGGTGACGTGTAGTATATTATGTCTCTCTAATCGCTAATGCTAAAAAAGCTCGACTTTGTCTATAAATAACCCCTGTGATAAATTAATATTGATAGTTTTGACGTAGACCGTCTCCGTAAATTCAAAAATGGTCCCATTCGCATTCGAATCCAAATGACCGTTTTTGAATTCGTGACGAAATTCGAATGAGACGGTCTGCGTCAAACCCTAATGATAACAAAGTAGTGTGGTCTAGTACCTGATTCCTGATCTTCGGTCTGCAGTTGGAAGCGGCCGCCGCCCATGATGGGCGCGAAGTCGTCGCTGTCCGCTATCAACGCGTTCCGCAGCCGACCTCTCGCCGTGCCGTCTGTTGGCAACAAAATAAAGAATAAGCTACAATACAATCGCAAAAAACATAGCCCTCTTTCTGGCGCAGTCGGGTAAAAATAGTTTCACTTCTGGCTGTAGATGTTGAGTTATTGTAGTGTATTCACAGAAACAGAAATATGGTAACGAACACGTCATAGTATGGTGCAGTTTTGCACCACATCTCTGGGTTGAGGACATGGAATGCCGGTCTCGGTAGTTCTTCGATCAGAAGAGCTGACAAAGCAGCGGCATAGAGCAGACCGTAACCCGCTCTCGAGACTATAGAATGAGGCGGAGCCGCGTCAAGTTAGAACAATAACGCGCGGCTCCGTTTCATTGGGCTCCGGTGGCATTGTCGGGTTTTAGTGGGTAAGCTCCGGAGCGTTGCGTTTCACAGCCGCGCTATAGCGTCGTGTTGTTTCGAATTCGTATTTACTTCTTACTTACTTACCATCAGGTGAGATACAGGCCAAGAGCTTCCTTGTTGTGGTTAAAAAAAATCTTGTGACGTCGACCCTCTGCCCCATCTAGGGGACATAGGACATTTTTTTTTCGTCAGGAAATGCATGAAATTGCATACCCACTGGCCCGGGGGAACCAGTAGGTTATGTGAGGCTCTCCCTGCCAGATGGACAGGGCCTGCTCACTAAAACCTGACGGTGTCCTCCCAAAGTCTTTGGGACGGAACTGCGAGTTATTGTCCGAGCTAGACGGCCTAGACATTCTTTCGCGGCTCCGCCCCAGACCGTGGCTCGTTCTGTTGGAGCAAGCGACGACTGGCTTCAGGGGAGAAGTACCTCCCCTGTTCTTCGCTAACGGTGCGCGTGAACACACTTAGGACCTTAAGTCAAGTAGGTCAGGTGCTATATCGCGTTACTCACTGTCGGGCGTGGTGAGCGGCGTATGCAGCGCGTGCAGTGGCGGCGGCGTGCGCGCCGGCGTGCGCGAAGAGCTATTGGAACGCTGCCACGAAATTCCGATCGACCAGCAGATCAAGCGCCGCAAGTGGAATTGGATCGGCCACACTCTCCGAAGGGATCCCGGTCACATCCCCAAGCAAACTCTGGATTGGAACCCCCAAAGAAAACGCAAACCTGGTCACTCAAGCGAACTTGGCGGCGCGCTGTAGCAGACGAGGCGAAGAAAATCAAAAGACATCAAACGCGCAGCTCAAGACCGAACGCGATGGAGGACTGTTGTGGACGCCCTCTACTCCATCTAGGGGACATAGGACCTTAAGTCAAGTAGGTCAGGTGCTATATTGCAACGTTACTCACTGTCGGGCGTGGTGAGCGGCGTGTGCAGCGGCGGCAGCAGCGACAGCGTGGGGTCGGTGACGCACGGCGGCTCGCGCTTTATTTACTCCCTACCTCGGGAGCGTCGTGTCAGACTGGAGGTACCGAAGAGGACAACGCTTGGCGCATTGCCAAGGCCACGCTACCTTCGCCCCGTATGGCAGTCACGTAAACAGACCCGAAGGGTCAAGATCAAAATTTTCAGGTCCAACGTTAAATCCGTTCTGCTCTATGGGTGTGAAACGTGGAAGCACACCAAGATTATCGCGCACCAGCTGCAGGTCTCCGTCAACCGCTGCATTCGCCGAATTCTCGGCATATACTGGCCCGAGAAAAATCTCCAACGACGAGCTACTGAAACGCTGCCACGAAATCCCGATCGACCAGCAGATCAAGCGCCGCAAGTGGAATTGAATCGGCCACATCTGGATTGGAAACCCCAAGGAAAAACGCAAATGTGGTCACCCAAGCAAACTTGGCGGCGCACTGTAGCAGACGAGGCGAAGAAGATTGGCAAGACTTGGAGCGAGATCAAACGCGAAGCCCAAGACCGAACTGTTGTGGACGCCTTCTGCCCCATCTAGAGAACATAGGACCTTAAGTCAAGTAGGTCGGGTGCTATATTGCGTTACTCATGTCGGGCGTGGTGAGCGGCGTGCGCGCGGACGTGCGCGACGAGCTATTGAACGCTGCCACGAAATTCCGATCAACCAGCAGACCAAGCGCCGCAAGTGGAATTGGATCGGCCACACTCTGTAGCTGACGAGGCGAAGAAAATCGGCAAGACTTGGAGCGAGATCAAACGCGAAGCTCAAGACCGAACTGTTGTGGACGCCCTCTGCCCCATCTAGAGGACATAGGACCTTAAGTCAAGTAAGTCAGGTGCTATATTGCGTTACTCACTGTCGGGCGTGGTGAGCGGCGTGTGCAGCGCGTGCAGCGGCGGCGGCGTGCGCGCGGGCGTGCGCGGCAACAGCGACAGCGTGGGGTCGGTGACGCACGGCGGCTCGCGCTTTATTTATTCCCTAACTCGGGAGCGTCGTGTCAGACTGGAGGTACCGAAGAGGACAACGCTTGGCGCATTGCCAAGGCCACGCTACCTTCGCCCCGTATGGCAGTCACGTAAACAGACCCGAAGGGTCAAGATCAAAATTTTCAGGTCCAACGTTAAATCCGTTCTGCTCTATGGGTGTGAAACGTGAAAGCACACCAAGATTATCTCGCACCAGCTGCAGATCTTCGTCAACCGCTGCCTTCGCCGAATTCGCGGCACATACTGGCCCGAGAAAAATCTCCAACGACGAGCTATTGAAACGCTGCCACGAAATTCCGATCGACCAGCAGATCAAGCGCCGCAAGTGGAATTGGATCGGCCACACTCTCCGAAGGGTTCCCGGTCACATCTGGATTGGAAACTCCAAGGAAAACGCAAACGTGGTCACCCAAGCAAACTTGGCGGCGCACTGTAGCAGACGAGGCGAAGAAAATCGGCAAGACTTGGAGCGAGATCAAACGCGAAGCTCAAGACCGAACGCGATGGAGGACTGTTGGGGACGCCCTCTGCTCCATCTAGGAGACATAGGACCTTAAGTCAAGTAAGTCAGGTGATATACAGGGTGGAATTTTGTAATGCCACCTGGAGGGAAAGTACTCTCAATATTGTAGATAGAAAATTTTACTGAAAGAAAACATTCCTTTATTTTTGAAAAGAAATAGAACTGCATTCAAAGATTTCCAAAAAATTGCTTAAGACACCCAGGATTCGAAGCAACTAAAATCTGTTAAAAATTACACCCTGTATTTTTATTGCATCGATCGTTAGGGTTAAGTATCAGGATGAAATCTCTCTAACAAACTTGATAAATCAAATGAAAGGAAAACCATGAAATCTTAAATTATTTTAATTATGTACAGGAAATTGTATGGTATGGTAGAGAATTTTCGAAAAAATATCGGAAATCTTTGAATGCAGTTCTCTTTCTTTTCAAAAATAAAGGAATGTTTTCTTTCAGTAAAATTTTCTATCTAGAGTATTAAGAGTACTTTTCCTCCAGGTGGCATTACAAAATTCCACCCTGTATTGTAACGTTACTCACTGTCGGGCGTGGTGAGCGGCGTATGCAGCGTGTGCAGCGGCGGCGGCGTGCGCGCCGGCGTGCGCGGCAGCAGCGACAGCATGGGGTCGGTGACGCACGGCGTCGACAGCCGCGACGGCCCGCTGGCCTCCTCGTCCGGCGGCTCGCGCTTTATTTATTCCCTAACTCGGGAGCGTCGTGTCAGACTGGAGGTACCGAAGAGGACAACACTTGGCGCATTGCCAAGGCCACGCTACCTTCGCGCAACTTCGCCCCGTATGGCAGTCACGAAAACAGGCCCAAAGCAAGATCAAAATTTTCGGGCCCAACGTTAAATCCGTTCTGCTCTATGGGTGTGAAACGTGAAAGGTCACCAAGATTATCTCTCACCAGCTGCAGATCTTCGAAGAAAACGCAAACGTGGTCACCCAAGCGAACTTGGCGGCGCACTGTAGCAGACGAGGCGAAGAAAATCAAAAGAGATTAAACGCGAAGCTCAAGACCGAACGCGATGGAGGACTGTTGTGGACGCCCTCTGCTCCATCTAGAGGACATAGGACCTTAAGTCAAGTAGGTCAGGTGCTATATTGCGTTACTCACTGTCGGGCGTGGTGAGCGGCGTGCGCGCGGACGTGCGCGACGAGCTATTGGAACGCTGCCACGAAATTCCGATCAACCAGCAGACCAAGCGCCGCAAGTGGAATTGGATCGGCTACACTCTGTAGCAGACGAGGCGAAGAAAATCGGCAAGACTTGGAGCGAGATCAAACGTGAAGCCCAAGACCGAACTGTTGTGGACGCCCTCTGCCCCATCTAGAGGAAATAGGACCTTAAGTCAAGTAGGTCAGGTGCTATATTGCGTTACTCACTGTCGGGCGTGGTGAGCGGCGTGTGCAGCGCGTGCAGCGGCGGCGGCGTGCGGGCAGGCGTGCGCGGCAGCAGCGACAGCGTGGGGTCGGTGACGCACGGCGTCGACAGCCGCGACGGCCCGCTGGCCTCCTCGTCCGGCGGCTCGCGCTTTATTGGTGTCCTGTAAACAAACATATAACAATAAATAACGCCTCACATGTGACCACGACCGCTCTGCCAAGAGCGAAACGAATAAGAAGAAACAAATACAATGAGGGCTATCGATTTTGTGCATCAGTGACAAGTGATAGGACCTCTACAGTGGTGCCAACTGGTGAGGGCAAATACGATAGCCCAGGGGTCGGCAACCTGCGGCTCTTTAGTTCCATTCGCAAACATTATTTATTTTATAAAAAAAAATGTTCTGAAACGATTAACGAGGTTTAGGCATTACTTCTATCTCTCAGCTACTTATACTCGCTTTTCACCGCAGCAGTTTGCTCAATTGTTTATTGTTGAAGTTCCTACAAGTTAAGTGTTGTAAGTAAGTAAATGTTTGTTTTCTTTTTTATCTTATTCATTATCATGTGATTATTTGTTGTGAAAAACACTACTTACTCGTATATATGAATAAATAGATATTTTTCTTATGAATAAATAGTTTACTTTTTTTTATAAACAAACTTTATGAAAGTATAGAGGCAATTTATTGTTGGCAAGAAAAAAAATTGTGGCTCTTTAAAAACTTGAAATTTTGTAAATAGTAATTTTTGGCTCTTCCGACTCAAAAGGTTGCCGACCCCTGCGATAGCCCAATCAATACGATAAAATTCCCTCTCTAATGAGAGCTCGTTTTCCACCAAGGCGGAAACGAGATGAGAGGAGAAATGTTATAGGCAATATCCAATAGCATTTAGTTTATAATACGTTTCTTCCCCCCTCAGCTTCAGTAGAAACTTAGCGAGAATGACTAGACAGGAAAGCAGAAGAACTCTCCGAAAGAGAAAAAGCCACTATTGTGGCTAATGAGTGCCGTTCAGTAACTGCAGCATTATTTCGGTAGATGTTGTCATTCATGAGCGCCTGATCATCTGTGCTCGTACATAGGTACGTAATACATTGGATCCTAATTTAACACTGGGTTGTGTGCTTTCGGAATGAGTCCAATAAATGAATGACTAACTTTATGTGTAAACGAACGCAAAATTCAGGTGAGGTTTTGTGGAAGACATAACGGTCGCTGCAGTGCAGCTCTTGTAAAGCCAAGATATAGTTGCGTCTTAAATGAACGAATGATGATAGGAACTCGAAACGAAACTAATTTTAAAAAGCAAATATTAGAATGTTCATCAGTAGAAGGTAGATAGATAAAGTCTGACCATGTCCCACTATAAAGCCACACCCCATCAATGAAGTGGATTGGGCCTAATGCGGATTAGTGGAATGGTGGGTATAAAGATTTTAACCAAATCAAAAACAGTACATTAGCTTGTTCCCAACCAGTCACACCGTAACATGTAACACTGACTTGTTGGGAAAAAGATCTCATCATGTCAGTGTTACTCAGCCTTGGCGCCTTAGAACGAAGAGAGTCGACTCCAAATAAAATAGGGAAAGGTACAGAAAAAAAAAACAAATAAGAAGTACTTACGTAAAGCTAGCGGTAACTGTGTTGTTAGGCAGCGACTGTAGATGCGCTATAAGAGGCGCCAGCAGCGCTTTATTGTCCTCGAGTAAGGGGTCCGATGGTAGCAGCCCGGACGCTGAAATATAAACTTACAGTTATAATTACCTACGCGAATACTACACAATGTTATCGTGCACTAACACGATATCTGCTGACCTATTTTATCTACTACGCCCTCAAAGTGAAATTTTGACGTTTTATATTATCGAAAAATATTGTACTTTTACAAGTACCAAAAATGTTTAAGTATGTTGATTAACATGCAAAATCAGCTCAGAACATAAAATAGATAAAACAGGGGTCTTTCACATAAGTTACATATTATTATGTACACAAGCACAAGCAGTCTGCTTGTGACCACGGCTGCAACATAGCAGCCGAAACGTCAAGCCGTGACTACATTATGTAACTCATATAAAAATGTCGCTTTGAGACCCGTGTTTTCTCTATTTTAGTTGGCACGCTAAAGTTTCAAAACAGCTCTGAACATGTTTCAAAGTTATTAATTGCAGTGGGTTATGAATATTATTATCATCGCATTGGCCCACTTTAGTCTAATGGCCAAGTTAGATGAGAGATCTAGCACAAGAATTGGAAAACACTGAATGTATTCATTAAATACTATCGTTATTGTGATTAATGATATCTTAGAACAAAAGATCTTAGAACCTTAGAGTGGGCCCAGAAAGAATATTTAAAAATTCATGCAGCGACTTGGACCGTGGACCAAGTCACTTGAGACACTTGGCCAAGCCACAAGAAAAAAAATAATGGATCAAGATAACACACTCACAAGGCGAAGGCGACGCTGGCCGCTCCTTGGGGCAGAGGAACACTTCGATCTCACCCGACATCGACTTCAGGTGGATCATGTAGCCTTTCTCATCTGGGTGAGGTACCTGAGGACAAACAAACATACAGTTATCAATCTGCTATATTTTTTATAGCGAATTTATGACGGACCCTTCGGTGGGCCGACTATAAGGTCGCGGGAAGCACCTGAAGAAGCCAAGACCAATCGTTATGGAAATCCCTGGGGGGGTTCTTAGCCAGCAGTGGACGTACTTTGGTCAAGTGTTTCTATTCCCAATAAAGTCCCACAAACAATTTTTAAATTGTTAAATCAAATTCAAAAATATTTAGTCAGTGTTGACCATATTTTAGCACTTTGACAATCTTTCATTACTCGAAAGTGAGAAACCAAAACTTATCTACGCCGATTGAAAACAAACTACGAATCATTACAACCGAACGTGTAAACAGGTAGCGTGGTGGCGAGCGCATGCGTACAGCGATAGCGTCAGTACCCAAAACGAACCAGTGCCCATGCGGATAATTATTTAATGTATTCATGTACAAAAATAAAATCCCAAAACAGTTAATACCCAACGCATACGTTTCTGGTCCCGTCAGCGCATTTCGCTAAACAGTAGACTTCGTAAAGTATCCCAATAAAAGCCACAATGTTCTTATCGAAAGTATTTTTTCTTGATATTCTTTCAAGTTCATAATATTCCCAGTGCAATCCCAGGCAGAAGAACCCGATTTGGCTAATATCGGATAATCATGAAGTTTATTAGTAATTGAGGTGAGCCCGCACAAAATAGGGACTGGCCGGGAAACGCAACCGGTGGTCATGGGCTTACTCAAAGTTCGTTAATTTCAAGCGAATTCAGTCCAATGCTGGACAAAGACCTCTTCCACGGATTGGGGAAACCTGTACCTTCACCAGATCGTTGGTCCGCCGAGTGGGAGGCCTGCTTAGTGTATGTCACGCGTATGCTATGTAGGCGAGCGCGCCGTGCTCACTTACACTCGACTAGTGGGAAGAAGACTCACACTGAGCCTGGTATCTGGGGGAGCCTGGTATCTGGGGGAGCCTTGATGGGTATCACGGTTTGGTTCCTGAAGTCCCGTATAGACCGCAGCCCACGTATGCTATGTAGACGAGCACGCCGTGCTCACTTACACTCGAGTAGTGCGAAGAAGACGACTCACACTGAGCCGGTATCTGGGGGGGCCTTGATGGGTATCATGGTTTGGTTCCTGAAGGCCCGTATTGAGTGCAGGACTGCGTAAATAATGTAAACTGGACTAAATTACTCGACTAGTGCGAACAAGACTACTCACACTGAGCCTGGTATCTGGGGGGGCCTTGATGGGTATCACGGTTTGGTTCCTGAAATCCCGTATTGAGCGCAGATCCGTGTACGTGATGTAGGCTCCGTACTCGCCTACACTCGAATAAGTGTCTAAGTTACTCGACTAGTGCGAACAAGACTGTACTCACACTGAGCCTGGTATCTGGGGGAGCCTTGATGGGTATCACGGTTTGGTTCCTGAAGTCCCGTATCGAGCGCAGATCCGCGTACGTGATGTAAGCTAGGGCTCCGTGCTCGCCCGAAAGGCAGCTGAGCGCAGTCTCGGCGAGCTGCACCGCTCGCGTGACGCGCGCTTCCCGCGCGGCGAGCGTGCGGACCTCGCGTCGGAGTCGCCTCGCACGCGACTCGTCGGCCTCCACGCCCGCGCCCGCCGCGGAACCGCCGCCCACACCTGATACAACACCCCGTATACTTCATGCCGGCGCCACACATTGGCTAATGACTTGGGTACAAACTTAGCTACGAATTTAATGGCCAAGGTATGCGGCCACACATTGACCCCAATAACTAACCTCTTCACTCCTCTTGCTTTTTTTCATGTACAACAAACAATTGGTACAATAAAGTGTTGGACACATTGTTGCGTTTATGTCCAATATCTGGCCAAGACTATTTAAAAGACTAACTTGGAGCCACTATACCAAATCTGTGGCGCCGGCCATCACGTTTTGTAGTCACTCTTGTGTAGGATCCACAGTTTGACCGCCAATAAGAACCCATAAAGGCCAAGTTTGTCCCAGGGGAAAGTCATTAGATTTAAGTATGTAAGCTTAACTATGTTTGCTATAAAACTTCATCATCATTATCAGTTCTCAGAGTCGAGTTGTTCGTTAGACAAGAATTCAAACAAAAACCATCCACAAACATAAATTGTAAACAAAAACAAATCAAATAAAAGATGATTACATCATCAAAGATAAAAGATAATTAACGTAATATCAATGACACTCACCATATTTCCATTGTATGTTGTTTTTTGATCTCTTCTCTAATATACCTATACCCTCTAAAACATTAGTGATATCGTAAATACGACGTTTTTGGACCGATAAGCGTTCCGCCGCTACGTTCAAATCGAGAACCCCGTTGGGTGACGACTTCAGAAGAGCGACGAATTTTTTCGTGAGTAAACCTAATGATGTGTCAAACCTGGAACAAGGAATTCTGAGTTGAGATAAAACGACAAAGTCCGTAACAATATGTATTTGTTCAAATAAGTTTGATTCTGTATCTCAAGATGAGGTCATGCGGCTACCGATCGATTTCTCAAGTAGACGTCAAATGTAAAAAAGTAACGGTTGGTCTTTTTCGGTAACTCGTATCAGTGCCACTTATGAATAAATAGGGCAACAAAGATAAGCAGGCGACGCACAAAGGTTTGCAGTGAAAGCGACACTCAGCCCGTACTATTCCCGTAGTCTGCAAGTCTGTATTTACAACCCAACCAGTTATCAACGACTTTCGGCTCCAAACATACTTCGGCCAGACATAACCAGACAGGGGATCAAACAATAACTTTTTCGTTTCAAACAACTCAAGAAGACAATGGCTTAAAAAATTACCTTGTTTTCAAGAAATGTACCTGGAACGTTCGGTGTACTTTTTCATAGAACTGGACGGTCGGCTGTAGGGGGTGAGCACTTTGACGCGTTTCTGTTTGGGCGTCTTGAAGTCCGCCTTCATGGGCACCACGTGGCCCTGGCTGCCTGAACTACTCTCGCTCAGGTTCAGTCTTCTTTTCACCGCCTGGACAAACCAAAAAATACCTATAAAACATTAAATTTAATTACACAATCGCGCCATACGTCTCATTAATGATATTTGGCACAAACAAGTACATGAAAAAAGATAAAACTGTGCCAAAAGGGCTACTGCTAAGTAAGTCGTTGGGGATTTAAATAACAACCCGACGCAATGTTTGCCACATAGATATTTTCTGAATTTAGGATGCCTATAGTAGAATACCTATAAGTTAGGCACAGGCTATATCTTAATAACCCCCTTATTAATAAAAAATTACACCTAGGGTATGACATTTCCATACTAAATGACAATTTAAGCCAGAGTTCAACTAGGGTGTAACTTTTATCAATAAGGGGTAACTGTTTTACAGTAAGATGATATTAAACCGCCCTGGTACCTCCACGAACGAGCTACAGCACTCTGCTTAAAAGTATAAGTAACTTGCTTCTGTATGTATTGTAACTTCCTACTTTTTTATATTTTTAAACCGGCAGACAGTGGTGACTGAGTTTGTTGCGGCGCTTCTTCTCAGCACTTGCCAAATGTTTGTCTCGAAGCGCTGGTAGGGCAAAAAAAGAATGAGACATATAGGCTCCTTAAGAGCATTTGACGATTTGCAAGAACTAATTTAATTAGTCTAAACAAATAAAGAAAATTTTGATTTTGATTTTGAATCGTTAATTTTTGGGGAGAGAGAATTCCTAATTGGCTTTGTGTCTGGTTCAAGAAACCTAAGCCCAGGTCAGTTCAAAATATTACTTAAAGTTTTGATTACAAATTGATGAAATAAACCTGTCAGCTTAAGACTACATGTCATTATAGCATGTATATCGACGCATTAAACCAGTCAAAACCTTTTAGCTGCGGTACAAACCACAAAGTGGATTTTGTAATACTGTCTCTGTAACTAAGGATTACAGCGGCGAGGACGGCAACAGTCAGCATAATGATGCTTTATATTCAATAGAAGTCAAATAAACCTTTCGGTTAAGTCACAAAAGCGCTCAGAATTCGAAGTCTTTTTAGTTTCCGATAAATTTCTTAGATCTTGGATACAAATGTAAAGAAAAACCAACTGTAACCCAAAACCAGCTACATATTTGGAGAGAACTTCGTATCATTCCTATTAATGTCAGATAGAACAGGAAATAGGCGTGGCCTGTCGGCTTGGCTTTTACAATAACGTTTTACGCATGTATCAGAAAACTACAAAAAAATATAGCGACGTCTCAAACTTTCCTGATTTTGATTGTTCTATTTCATATTGCAGTTCCAGTCACACCATATTACGTTTTAAGTTAACTGCGTAGTTTTGTGTTTACTCCTAACATTGATTTTACGACGAACGAGCGCATTCACTGTCCCATAAAAACACATTTAAAAAAATTATCACACACGCAAACAAAGACGATCAACTGTGAACACAGCGACAAAGCTAGCGCACACATTTCTACGTGATGACCGCCATTTCCCGCTCCACTGGTCCCTTCGGTGCCATTAGGTAGTCAAGAGCAAGAGAAATCTATGTTAAATATTAACCTGAGTTATTGCTCACCTTCTTAATTACTATCTGATAAATTGCCAATTAAAGTTAAATCCTTAACAACCGATATGCCTTGGCTAAGAACCGGGTGATTCTCAAAGTGGTCTATATCGATCTTACAAGGATCTTACTCAATATTAACGCGAAAAATATTTGTGGAGTCCATGAATACGTTAACATTAAATTATCTCGCCTCTTTTAATTAGGAACATGACCTGCAGTATCGGCAATGTAATTAATTTAATCCCAAACCGAAAGGCACGGTAGTTCATGTTCACGGCACCAAAAGTTTGAGGGCATATGGTTTATACGATCGTCAAAGCATGAAGTTGGATACTTATTAGATTTTATAATTGAATTAAAAAAATAAGATAAAGGGCTTATGTGGCAAACCCTGTAAAATTATCCCTGTGTTCGGTTATGCGTGGTAATGGATATTATGTAGCCATCACCATTTGAATGAATCATAAATAAGTGTACACACGAACGTCATGGTGCTTTCGTAATGTCTGCTCAATTAAACTACCAATTATAAATATATTATTAACGTCTACATTTCCCAACGTTATAAATTAATTAATGTATTCATTAATTTAGAACTAATGTGAAAGACAAGACAATCGGATGGAGTGCTATAATAATCAAATACGTGATGATAAAAACAAAAGGCTATTTGAATCGACAGGCCGAAATATCTGGACCAGGTAGCCACAGAATGAAATTCTATGAAACGAAATTGATAGGGTTGTTTACCTGTTCGGGGTTGGACCGACATAAACGGATGCCTTGGCATCCTTATGTACAAAAAAACCCTGATTCAAACATAACAATCATTCCTTCTTATAGATCTTGGACTTTTGACCAAAACTGGAATCTACGAGAACAGATGACGGTGTAATTTTACGTGATGTAACAATAATTAAAAATAGGTATTACCTACACTATCTATCAATAATGGATCACTTAACTATCAGCATAGGGCGGATAGCACAACACAAAATATTTCAGATAATTTATCACAGAATATAATGTGACTAGTAGATAGGTACCCAATTAACGCATTTGATAGTCCACTTTAGTGACGCAATTTAATTAATTATGCGCCTATTTTCTCTCATACGAAATGAATGAGCTTCTAAAAAATATAGGAACAACATGACATTAGCTTATCACCTGTTTCCACGTAAATGACAAAAATAACACACGAGGAGGTGTTTTTAAAATAGTTCTATCAGCTGCAATGTACCCACTGTGGTGTGCGATAAAATTAACCACTCACTCTCAACACAAGGAAAGTCATGGCTCCTCTGCTGCACCCGCGGTGAAATCACAAAATTTGTTAACCCATGGCACCACAAACACTCCGACAATAACATGGAAAAACAATAAAAACACTGGACCAGAAAACTATATTTTAAAATCGATCTGGAGCACGAGAGAGAGATGCACGAGGCATTTTCAATAAGCCGATGCAACAAATTCAATTTCGACATCCAACGCGGGGCAAAGCCCCCCAAAGGAAGTGTGTGGGGAGGGTACCCGGTACCAACAATACATGACATAAATTAGAATCAACACAAAAGCAGCCGCACTCTCGGAAGGGACCTTTGGCAAAAGAATGGCAATTTCTTATCTCAAATTCTGTTATTATTATTAATAGTGAACTACCTCACTATTGTTAATTTGCCGGGTTGTGGGACCCGCGCGTCTTTGTGCGCATGTGTAACCCCGGGCGTTGAGTAAAACAGAGCAGATGTTCCTTTAAATTTGACACACAAGTTGATAAAACATCGCAGATATCCCTTACGCCAACAAACTGCAAGGCGACATTAACATAATCAATCTGGCCCTGCGTGTGATCGAAGGGATCGTAGGTATAGAATAACAAGAGTAAATGGTACAATGGGTTATTTTTTCGATCCTATTCATGATGCAAATTAAATCAACCGTAGATTAGGACGAGTCTTGGCTTTTTAATGGGTATTATTAGGGTTTTGCTAACCGTCTTTAGCTGTAGGACAATGGGAGAAAAATGTGCAATGCAAGTGTGTGGACAGGAAATGTACCTGGCCACGTGACCCCACGGTGTGGAAGCCAGCCACATGTCGCCACCCGCAGCCGGGTGAACGCCACTCGACAAACTACAAGCACATGTAGATATGTGGTTGCTTGTCGGTTATTTTATGCTAGCAAGAACACTTGTAAATTCCTGCATGTGTTCCAGAAAACCTACATTCCACGAAAACCGGAGTAGACCAAAATCTAGTCGGCAAGTAAAACAGGTGATGTTTTAATAGACACGACTGTGATACCATTTTTTACTTTTCTTACGACCATCCGGCAGAATCATGATCATCATCATATTGATGACTAAAACTGCCACCAAATCACGAATCTACCTGTATTTAAGACCTAACTACAACAATGTCACGATTCAATAAAATGCTACAATGTTTAGTGCATAAGGAAAAATCAGATTACATTATCGCTCCTGTATGTAGCTAGCTTGTAGCATGACAATCAAATAAAAAGAGCTATCTTATTAAAAACTATAGTTTAAATAAAGTAAGGGAGAGATGTTTTATTCTTTGTGGACGATTATTGTCATGAAGTGCATTGATTTGCGGTCAGATTCCTAATCATTTGATTACAAATAAAATGCGAATAACCATTCGAAAATAAAAGCTGAATTAATACACCCGCGAATTTGATCAAGAACTGGAATTAAGGCGAGCGGAACTGAAGGCAATGCTAGTCTCAATTAGATAAATTGAAATACAATAATATTAATTCAGTATTCAATTATCACAAGAGTAAATCATATCGAGTTCACGGCCGTACCTACGATTATTTATACATAGCATTAGCAAGGAAAATATTCAGTGAAATAATCAATATTATTGGATATTTCATAATATTGAATGAGAACACAGAACAGAAAGATTATAGTTTGCACGCCATCTATGGTCACGCCGTGGCAGCGAAATCAGAATTTTATCGATTTTAGCACATTTCGGAGAAGGGACCCCAACACTCACGCACCACCCTTCGCGAAAACGGAGGGGCGTGTGCCGAACACGCGGCTTCTGCTACGCACTTAGAGACCCCATTGCAACGTTATAACGAACTCGTTTATGCCACTGATAAATGAAAGAAAATAATCTTTTGTATACTTTTCAGTACCACAGCAAGAATATTACTTATCTATCAAAAAACCCATTTTCATTAATGAATTTAACAATTAATTTTATCTTTATCAGGCATACACACACTTATCTGCAAAATTGTAACAAGTTCTATAAAAAAATACATGTTGATCCTCCAAATTATGTGAGGAATCATGACATCATTTAATAATGTTAAGTTCAATGACTTCTGCAAAGGTTATTGACCCTAACAAACCCTATGAATTTTTAGCCTGATTTTTTTCCCATAAAATACAGGTTACAAAACACATAATTATTACATTACTGAATCATAACCTGCCTAATAGGATTCATGGCAAAATTTCATAAAGGAAGGTTTGTGAAAACCATTATGTTGTAAATAGGTGCCCTTATATGGTAACTGACTAACCAGTTTATGAATTTTAAAACCAGCTAAGCTATCCCATATCTCAAGTCTGCTTTTAGTTATTTTTTAGTTGGAATTTATATTAGATGGTGACTTGCTAGTTCCTGCTCATCATTTGTTACTTTTAGGAATAGTTAGCTCATCTCATTTATGGAACATTTCATGTTATGTTGTAATTGTAAAGACAATATTTTACATGGATAGTTATATTTTCAAAATCACCCTTTTTTCTGCATCAGGAAAATGCATTGTGATAACTATTACAGGTTTATCCGAGTAAATTTTATTTTAAAATAGTATAATAAGACAGAAAAGGCCTAGTAGGTACCTACCTACAGCAAAATCAAGTAAAATGATAATTAATGCATTTATTTACAGCATTGAGCATTGATTTATCACATGTAAGATGATGATCACAACCATTAGAACGGGAACATACTAAAACTGTTTTAAAAGATGATTGATTCCACCAATCTGTTTCCCAATTTAAACAAACTTTTTTATTTATTAAGTAGCTAAACTCTACATTAAAAATATTTTAAAGGGATTGCAAATACATCTCGGATGAAGCTGTATTAAAAGTTTAACATACCCATACTCTCCCCGTCAATGTTTTTAATCTTGGAAACTTGTTTCCAATGAATTTTATTAGTGTGTTGCTTCCAGAAATCACAGACAAATACAGGTAGTCTGAAGCCCTTCATGTGAACTGTATTTGACGTGCTTCGATGACAGCTGTTAAAATTCTCTTCTACTCGAGGGAAAATTGTTAAGATAGTGATGTAAACTTACCTCTGATGTCTTCGGCGGTGCGGAAGGCGCCTCACGCCTGATCTGATGCTGTGGAGTGGCGCCATAGCCGTGGTCGAGCAGGTGATAGCTGATAGGCTGACTGGGGCTGTCATCCAGTAGCGTGGTATGCGATGGAGACGCCCCAGCACGCACCACCACCTCTGCCTCGCCCTCCGCCGGCCCTCGCTTCACCCCCCTCGGCATCGCTGATAACCAATACGAATAACATGAAATAGTAAAATCAATTCCTTTTGAACAGCAGTGACCATTAGAATCACAATTTAATTAGTGAAGAGGTTAGGGGCGCCGTGCGCGCGGAAATCGCTGTTGGAAAGCCTTCGTAACAGTGTGGGTCGATAACACGTATTATAAACTTTATGCAATTATAAAGGTCCCTAACGTAACCTGCAGCTGTCCAGCTATGCTTACGTCACTTTTTCAACGACATTTTCCCCAAAAATATCCACAATCTAGCGGTAACTCGACGACATAACCGCTTCACAAGCTATCTTTTACACACAAAAATTCTGCATAAAATAAATGTTACAGGAATATAATACTTACGAAAGGTGTAAGCGAACGATATGCGAATTTATAACCATAAAACGACATTAATGTTTTCGACGCAAACGCTACATTATCGAGTACTCAAAATAAAATGTCCGCCGCTTTGTTGGTCCCGAATGAACTCGTGGACATTGAGACGCTCGATAAATTTTAGTTACAACACACAGTTTATACAATACACATGTTAATTTATTCACTAAATGTTTCACTAGTTAAAGAAAATAATAAGACTGTCCTAGTGCACATTTTACAATAACTAATTAGATAAAATGCAGAGCATTGGAACGGCGACAGGAAGCTTTTCAGAACATCTGGCTTGCAAGCGACGTAGCTGTGGCGCGAACTACGTGCGCAAGCGCGAAGCGGCGGCCCAGCGTTCAACCCCTAGCGGACGCCTGCCGCCTGCCGCTATCCAAATCCGCCCCTCGTTCAAGAAGCCATAAAAAATATAACGAATTTTTGAATTTTCGTTGGCCGACCGGTTTGGGTTTGGGCATAAGAACCTCTTGGCGTCATTGCTTTTTCAAGCGGCTTAGATAAAAGTAATAGCGCGCATTCTTTTCAAATTCTATACATTTTTATGTACTTTAATTAATTAAGTGCTCAATTAATTATTAATTAAGGAAAGGCTGGGCTTCCTGGTATTGTTTTTTAATCATAATAATTTCGAATATAATACATCTAAGTTGCATTTACTTACCTAACGTCCTACCACCAGTAAACTGCCTATTTTATTTATTTTTTAGTGTATGTAGGCATAGAAAGTTATTTTATTTACTCCGATGTAGGTACCTACTTAATTTAAAAATAGAATCCATGCTAAGTAGGAAGCGTGCTATTCCTCTATGACGAGGTCTCAATCAAGATCAGTCAAGGTAGCCTACCTAAGTAGGTACTTATGTATTTCCAAATATTCGAAGGACCATAATTTATCGGTTATTCCATGGTTAGAATTATGGGGACTATTTATTTTTTAAGAGCATAATCTCATTAAATTATCCAGGAAAGGCAGGTACGAATTCTTCATTATCAACGTACAGAGTCTTCAACGTACTTAGTCAAAGTTCATATTAAAATATCTTTACCGCATCGTACTATTTACTATTTAATCCAATCATAATCGGAAACAGCAATGGATAATCATCAGCTAGCTCCAATTCACTACTAAACATGAGTTTTTTCAATGCACCAAGCTTGCTCCCCGGCTACACTGAAACCATCAACTAAGGAAAATTTGTGTTCTGCGATCGCCGACGCCATCGCCATGGTGAGCTGCGGTTCTTCAACTCGTATTAGAAGCAAACGTTCTTTCTTATGTTGTTATGACGAACGTTTTATGTATTTTTCTGGAGAATATAAACTAACAAAGTACCAACCTCGGACAGGACCTATAAATAGGTAGGTAGTACTAAACAGCTTAGACTCCTCCTCGTACCTACTTGGATTTAAGACAGGCAATAAGTAAGCTAGGATATGGTTAGGACATGGTGTTTTAAAGATGGATATTTTAATGAGACTGACACAAGATTAGGTAAGGCAAGAGAGGTATTACTAAGGTATTTAAATGTAGTAGGTACCTACTGTTATTGAAACGACACTATAAAATTATAAAATGTATTATTCCACAAGGCGACGAACGCTCTAAAGTTATGCGTCTAGATTAAATTTATTAGTTGAGTAGGTATATGTAGTTAGTTCGTAAAGAATACGACCCTATACTTTTAAAACGTTGGGGTCAGAATTTTCCTTTTGCCCTAGCTGCAGTGATCAGTAGACATGACATCATTATTGGTAGGTATATCTAGGGTAATTTTCCAGAGGGGCTTGACTTGCCATGGCCGAAGATTGGTCCCCCAGAGTTAGTTATGTTAAATCTTCGAAGACCAACTTTCAGGTGCACCAGACCATTCTGGGGAGGGCACAGCCCTCCCGGCCCCCTCGCTAATACGCGCATGCAGGACATAATAGCCTTACCTTTCGTTTATAAATAAGTAAAGCAAGAAGGTTACCGAGTCTTGATTTCTACAAGTCTTATCTAATCTAATAATTAATAGTTACTCGCAATATCTCCGAGGGGTAGCTAGTAGGTAGGGGTAGCTAATATCTAAAAGTATTTAAACTTGTTTGAATTAAAATAAAATGTTTGTCATTATGTTATAAAATCCTTGTAGAATCACTCACGAAATTAGATTTTTTTTTATTTTAATTGCTTGTAAATATCGATTTTCGTGCTAGCATCAGGAACCGGATGTGAATGAAAGCGCGAACAGGATGTTCCAAAAATCATAGACAACGGAACTCCTTTTGTTCCTTCATTCACGCATAGACAAAATTGTCTTGTCTATGCGTGAATGAAAGATCCAGCGCGCACTTTATGTATTGATTTTTATAATTGATGTTTATTTACTCAAATTGATGTGAAACATAAACCATCTTCCAACTATGTCTAAGCCATTTAAAAATGCGTTACCAGCTACCGATGCCACTACCGAAAGCTTTAGTCTACGAACAAACTATGGGACAAACATACAAATTAATGGTAAAAAAAGAAATTCAATGCAGCATCTTAGTTTATTCGCAGCGAATGTCAATGTTATAAAGTTGATTAGGCTGTCTTACATAATAGGCTAAGCTAAGGGCCTTGGTGGCTTGGTCTACTAGTTTCCCAAATCAAACTACTTTTGGCGGGGAGTTTGACATTATTATGGTCATGGCCAGTCATCAAATGAGAGGTCACATCTTCATACAAGTTGTTAGAAAATTGATATTTTTGTCCAGACCAAAACTGACTGTAATTTTATTCTGGGATATTGTGTAAAGAAAGAAATATACCGATTCACTATCTTTTAATGCTTAAAAAAGAATAATTGGTTATTTATTATACAATGGATGCAAACTATGCAATATATCAAAATTAAAATGTGCATGTTAGGTTTAGGTGCACTAGTACTTGTATTCTATGTTATTAAAATATAAGAAAGGATTTAGACTTTTTTGAGACTGATAATTATTATTGAAACTGCAGTTAGTAAGCAGAATATAAAAATAATTTATTTCTTAACAATAATTGATTATTAATTGAATGCATAGAAAACAATGTGTGTACTTAGTACATAATTCAAATATCAATTATAACAAACACTTCAAACTTGTTATCTTTGGGCTCATCAATGATTTGCATCGCTGAATATGTAATTGCCTTGACTTCGGTGCCTTGAGGATGTCTACCAATCTGGAATTCTTCTCCATAGCATTTACAAACTATTCTGAACTCTTCTGTGTTGAATTCTGTTATTACTAGCTTTTTACATATCAAGAAAGGTTCGACAGAAAACAGGAATAGTAATTCATCCAGGAAGTGGTATAAAAGGCCCATCATGTCATCAGCTGTGGCCTCGATTGAGTGCACCTCCTTTATCTGCACATAGTTGAGTTCAGTCATGTAGCCAAACATTGCCATTCCGCATTGTTCGAAGGCTTCTTTTAAACTGTCACCCCAAGCATGTAACCTGAAAATTATTATGATGCAATTTAGCTGGAAACATCACAAAAGCACTTACTTTTTTTTATATAAAATTATTCTAAGGAATTAACAACAGAGAGATACGTACTGTACATCAGCAGTGTGATCCAAATCTGGAAACAAGAAGGGAATTCATTAAATTTTACAGACAAATCCGTGTAACAACCTAAAACTGCGATAATTTTATACAGATACATTACATACATTCATATTTCACAGGGGGAAGATAAAAATCTTCTTCAGTAAGTCCACCTTGTTCTTCATCCATTGTATTTATTGTTGTTCGATCAAAATGATTACTTATTATTAATTAAATTTCAACGTGGAAAGTAAAACGCTATGAATCACGATACGAGAAAAAACACCGCTGTTTTGATTTGACGTTATGTTTGACGCAAATCAGCTGTTTATCAATTTAACTTTTTTACAAACTTTACTCAATCTCTGGCTTAGCACTTTGGTATTTTAGCAATTTTAGCCTTCATTTGAATGAATGACATCATTTTCTAAATGACGTCACGTCCATATCTGTGGTCACGTCACTAGCTGATGACTGTCAATGTCAAAACACTAAAGATGTGTCGTTATGGGTTTTTGAAATAACGAAACGCGACGGTTTTCGAATCACGAATAACGTTTTCAAAACTAGTTTTTTTTAAACGAAGTTATTTCCACAACGCTCAAGCAAGAGTGTTAATAATAACGTTAGGTGTTTGGTTAGCTGCAAGGCCTTTAGGAACTTATGACCTTCAAAATAAGACTCAAATTCCATTGAATATCTAACGTACGACGAAGATTATACCTATTTCATCCACACTTATGTTAACGTCCTATGGCTTTCTCACTCGCACACGCACTCGATTCGTTGCGATCCTTATTATTTGGACACCATACATTACTCGCTTTACTCCTTTAGGTTACAAAAAATATGTTTAAGAATCGTCAATGTACGACGTTGTCCTCAAAACTGTCATAACGAAGCGTCGTTATGACAGTTTTGAGGACAGTTTCCCGCTGGAAACACGTTATTTTTTGTGTCAACCAAACATCTACCTTATGTTGTTTGCTTAAGAGTGAATTCGGTTTACCTTTAGAGCGTTGTGGAAGCAATCGTGTTGAATAACGAAGAGATTCTAACGTTGTATGACGTTAAGAAAAAAACTAGTTTAGGCGTTTTTGGATAACGAGTGATCACTGGTCAGGCTAATCACTCGTTTAATAACCAGTGATAACGAATAACGCCCATCGCTACAAAACACACTTGTCAAAAAAATTGAAATATTTTCAGTGTTCGATTTTTGCGATATTCATTTGAATTTATTTTACTATTTTGCTCTGATAGTTTTATTATTTTCGGCAGACTATCTGTTTCATTTTTATTTTTGAATTCAGCAGTTCATTATCGCTTGTAAGATGGACCCCATTTCAGTTTTACAAAGTAGAATTGAACAATTAGAAGCTAAATTGGGTTTAGCTTCGAGCGTGCAAGTGGATGGCCAACAAGGGGATACTGTTTCGTCGAATCTATTGAATGCGTCTCAAGCAATCAACAATGTGACTGCGGCTCACGAAAAGCTACCCGAGGCAATGCAGCGGGCTTCGGAACTAAACAACTACACTGATCCTAACTTACTTGAGAATGTAAGTAAATATCAACTATAGTTTTCTTTAAACGTTGTTCTCGTTGATCTCGTCTCATTTAGCTGTCATAGCAGCTATTCAAGAATAAAATTAGTCCGACAAAAAATCTCAAAAGGCTCAGAAGATATTTAACATGGAAAGTTCATTAAGTACCTAGTTTCAACTCTCTTGGTGACGCATTAGAAATAAAGAAAGAAAGAAAATATTTTATTTGGCCCAACATATTAAATTATTACAGTGTACAGTTTACAATACTTGCACATTTGTGGACCAAAATGGCATCCGCTCAGCATTGTGTCCTGCTCTGAGGTAGACCCAGAACAGGACGCTGTTATTCTGCGGAGGCCACTTTTTTAAATGAGCGTCACATTGGACGCCATAAACATTGGCATTTTTATTTTAAAATTATATAAACTTATACAAAACTTCAACGATTACATAAATTTCTTTGTTACCTATAACTAAATCTTGCAGAAAGAGGAATTGTCTACTTACAAAATGAACAATGCAATTTGTGAGAATAAGATTTGTGAATTGTATTTCAGATACAGCAGAATGAAATGCACATGAGAGAAGTAGTGGCTGCCGAGCCGGTCATCAAGCACCACTGCCACTGCATGCATCGTTGCAAACAGGTATAATGTTTATTTCATTTCTTGTTTTATCCTTAGGTACCTATATTCTCTTTTATAATGCGAACAGCTAGAGACTGGAATTCGTTGCCTGCTGCTGTCTTTCCCGAAAACTATAACCCGGGCCTCTTCAAGGCGAGAGTGAATAGGCACTTACAGGGCAGATATGTACCATCCTAGACTGCATCCCACTTAACATTAGGTGCGATTGTGGTCAAATACCTGCCTTGTCATGCATAAAAAAAATATATTTACTAGACTTCTTTTTGTCTTCATTGAGACTTGTCTGAGAAATCCATTCCAAGTACCAATAAAGAATATTGTCAAGCACAGTTTTTTACACATTATGGACTGAGTTTCACCTTTATGATGTTTTTTTTATTTATTTTTCAGGCTGCTCCTGTTATGGAATCTGAAGCCATACAGCAGGTGCCACAAATGCAGGCTGCCGTGGATCAAATGCATGCAGCAGCTGCCGAAGTGAAGTCTGAAGCTGATGTGGTAAGATATTTGGCTTAATTTTTATTAAGTTTAAGATTTTTAGAAATGCCATAAGTGCTTTAATGTACAGAAAACGGCACAGCAGACTACACTTTTTTTGCAGAGTGGAACCTATTACAAGATGCCACAGTGTTAAGCTTGATGTGCTGTATGCACTATAAACCCCTTGGTCTTCTTATCTTTCATTATAATATGGGAATGTTTTGCAGGTTTCCCATGGGATTCAAGAGTTGGCTGAGACCTGCGGTACTGCTGCATCGAATGCTTCAGAACAACTTGCTAATGTCGCCCAAAAGGTAGAGCAAGTGGAAGAAAAAGTGTTTCCCCGAAGGCGAAATGGACTGGATTAATAATGTGGATCTCTGAACTCTCTGGTGCATAACAAATAGATTTTCTATTGTTGTCTATAATGACATATTTATTCTAAATTATTTTGTGTATCAGTAATGGTTGTATGATTTGCTGTGTTCATAATAATAAAATATTAAATTGAAAGTGTTATGTATGTAACTATGTTAATTTTATTTGTTGACTCCTCCATATTACTATTTCCAGCAGCTTGTCTGTAGGTACACCTTTCCTGAAATTATTAAACCTTCCTTCTTCCGTAGGGAGATAATGAGTATTGCATACCTACACTATGACCACGATTGGACGCCATGACCACAGCTGAATGCCATGACCACAGCTGAACGCCATGACCACAGCAGATCCGCTGTGGTCGTATTATTAACCGTTGCATTATTAACTTAATTATTATAATCTGCGATGGAGTTGTTAATCTGTGGTTGTTTTGTGTTCATTTTTTTGTCTATGGTTTTTGTTTGACAGTTCATAATTGAAAATGGCAGACACTGCTGTTGAAACTGCTCCAGGCGATGAAAACGATGATAGTTGGTTGTACGGAGACTCAAATGCAGAGCAAGCTGCAAACAACGATGCAGAAAATAGTGAGAAAACCCAGGTTCAATCGAATGCTGTAAGTTATTACTTATAGATACTTTACATAACCTAAAAGTTTTGGCTTGTTGTTACTGTGCAGAATAGTAAATAGGCATATCAAACGCGTTTTTGTGCTATTGCAGGACGTTGGAGAAGACAAAGAACAGGAGGAGAACGATGCCAACAACGATGATTCGCATTTCAACGATGAGCATTTTGCTGACGTTGGTCTGACGGGGGATCAGGAGCAAGCCAACGGGGATGCCGACAGCCAGGACAACGGAGACTCGGATTCCGACGACAGTGACGATGTCAAAGTCACTATCGGAGAAATCAAGTCGGGGCCGCAAGCGTATGCCAGTTTGAACATCAAAGTGAGTTTGTTATGATGCTACTTACATCTGGGTAAACATCCTAAGCCCATAGTAAAAAATATGACCACCCAAAAATACTGCACTACCTAATAGATGCAGAACTTGGAGATGAAAGAGTGGAAATCACAATACCTATGTAGAACTAGAACAACTGCTCAACAAAAAAGAATATAAACAATTTTAAATTGTTAAGATTCTTCTTCCTATAGAGAAATATTTTAAATTTAATAAGTTGCTACTGACAGGTTGTTAAATAAAGAGATCACATAAAAACAAAAGTAGCTCAAGACTTTTCCATAGTTTGAAACAGTGCACTAAAAGTCCAGTCAAAGTGAGTCCAGTTGATTTGATTGGTTGCAGTATTTAATTCAATATTAGTTGTATATTCATTGCTCTAAATTCAGTATAATTAGGTTTCAGTATGTTTTTACCATTTTCATTCATACAGATTGTATTATTTAGTTTGAATGGTAAGTTTATTTATTTAGAACAACCAATAAGACAGAAATATTAATACAAGCAAAGCTAAAAGGTTGGAACATGGTCTTAGGGTTAGGCAAATTTATTGAATCTTTTATCAATAGACTAGCTTTCCACTCGCGGCTTTGCCCAGTGTTTTCCCGGAAGTAAGATTGCTTTGTATGTTTTCACATAAAGTTATGTAAATGAATAAAAATCTTGATCGGTTTTCATTTGCAGAGAGGAGTAGGCCTGGTAGCAGCAGGCGCAGAGAAGCCCCGCCAAGGTACTGCCACTGGCAGCAAGGTGACGCTGGAGGATCTCGATGGGCCCGGCAGTATCAATGGAGTGCCCGCACTTGAATTCAACATCGACACCATTGAAGATAAACCATGGAATAAGCCTGGTGCTGACATATCTGGTAAGTGCATACTCTTGTGTTTATGTATAAATGGTGGATTAAATATTGTTTATTGATTGTTTATTAAGTAATGGATGATATCAAATAAGATTTTAGAAAAAAATATTATCATTATTCAATTTCTATGTACCTGATTAGAGATATTTGTTTATCAAAACAAACTTTCACTCTTCTAGAAGTAAAACATTTATGTGTTGGGATGTGTACACCTAGAAGATACTATCTCTCTCTGCCTGCACTATTGAGGAGATACAGCCAAAGACAGCACCCGCTAAGTGCAAGGATTATTATTTTTTTCTAAATTTTCATATCTCAGCTCGGGGCTGGTATTTTTATTATTATAAGCGTCCCCCCACAGACTACTTCAACTACGGGTTCAACGAGGTGACGTGGAGCGCGTACTGCGAGCGGCAGCGGCGCATGCGCGTGGGCGAGGCCGGCGTGGGGCTGCACGTCGTGCCGCCGCGCGCGCCGCCGCCGGACATGCGGCGACCGCCGGGTATTCATTTGATTTATTTACTGCTTTTCTATATTATCTTTGTAATCGTTTCAGCCAAATGATGTCCACTGCTGGACAAAGGCCTCCCCCAAGGCTTTCCATAACGACCCGCATCCAGCTTGTTCCCGCGACCTTCACCAGATCGTCGGTCAACCTAGTACGAAGCCTGCCCACGCTACGTCTTTCGGCCCGTGGTCGCCACTCAACGGCCATCGTCTCTACGAGTTATGTGTAGTTGTGGGTTACGCGTTGCACGCCGTGTTGACGATGGCTGCCGCGCGTTGGGTTTCTGTCCGCGCCGGTAAACCGGTACCCCGCATATACCGAACAGTTGGAATACCTTTGTCGTAGTTTGAGGAACAATGTTAACATTTGAATGTGATTTACAATTTTACAATGATTGTCTTCACTTTATTGAAAGTTAATATTTTTTTCTGTTTTCAGGTCCCATTAGATCCGACGATGGTCCGCCAGTGATGCCAAATAACTACCAAGTTCGCGAAAATACTATACAGGTAAGAGCTGGTATTGGTTCACTCTCATGCAGCTTATGAATCTCAAAAGCCTAAAGACTAGCCTACAAGGGCGGCAAGTCCTCGACAAATTTACTAACTAGTCCAGTAGAATTAGCTTTTAAATCGGAAATAATTCCTACAAAAGAGTTTATTGCTTTAATGGCTTCATTGGTTGCCCTTTAAGACTCTCCTAGGTTTTCGACTTCGACGGAGTTGTGCTTAAGTGGTGGGGGCCCCCGAAAGGGGCGCTTTTTCGGTTTTCGGATTATATCGCGTAAAGGACTTACCCTATCAAAAAGTGGTCTTCCTGACGGTTGAAGGGCATTTAATTCTGCATTAAATAAGACCAAATTCACATTTTTTGGACAAACCGTTCTCGTGCAAATGTTCGGCAAAGTAGAAAATATGTGTATAATTAATGACCCTCTCCACGTCCAATAGCTCGTCACCCGTATGCTCCCAAACCTTGTAAAGGGTCGCCTTAACCAGCGTATCTCTGTCTAGGCTCACGAGTTGAATTCGCTTATCCTTGTTCGTTCCAGCCGTTCCTTAACTGCGGTTGCTGCTCCTCTTCCTGGCACTCTCCTGAACGACTCTGTGTTACCTACTGTGGCTGCCCCTCTTCCTTGTACCCTCCTGTACGATTGCATTGCTTAGCCATATGCCTGGTCCAAGGTTCGACGCCACAAAATCAACTTCGTACGCGTGAAAATAGTTTAAATACTATTTTCCGTGCTTGCAACATTTTTCTTTACTGCTTCGCCTCTATTAGTCGTAGAGTGATTGTATATATCCTATAGCCTTCTTCAATTTATGAGCTATTCAACACAAAAATAATAATTTCAATCAAACTAGTAATTCTTGAGATTAGCGCGTTCAAACAAACAAACAAAAAACTCTTCAGCGTTTTAATATGAACTTGTTGTTGTTGGTTTTTGGCGTCGAACCTTAGACCAGGCATACGGCTAGGCAACGTAGTCGTGCAGGAGGATACAAAGAAGAGGAGCAGCCACAGTAGGTAACACAGAGTCGTACAGGTGAGTGCCAGGAAGAGGTGCAGCAACCGCAGTTAAGGAACGGCTGGGATGAACAAGGATAGGCGCATCCAGCTCGTAAGCCTTGATAGGGTTACACTGGTTGAGGCGCTCCTTTTCAAGACTTGGAAGCCTGTGGGTAACGAGCCATTGGACGTGGAGAGGGTAATTAATTATACACATATTTTCTACTTTGCCGAACATTTGCACGAGAACGGTTTGTTCAAAACATATGAATTTGGTCTTATTTGATGCAGGATTAAATGCCCTTCAACCGTCAAGAAGACCACTTTTCGATATGGTAAGTCCTTTACGCGGTATAACCGGAAAACCGAAAAAGCGCCCCTTTCCGGGGCCCCCACCACTTAAGCACAACTCCGTCGAAGTCGAAAACCTAGGAGAGTCTTAATGGGCAACCAATGAAGCCGTTAAAGCAAGTAAATCTTTTGTTTGAATTATTTCCGATTTAATCAATTTTTGTGTTTAATTCTACTGGCCTAAACGTGACAATTGTAATTCAAATCGCTTCGTTCCGACGTGACGTTATTTGTATGTTTTGACTTTACTCCATGAAACGTGAGCGGGTCACCACAATAGTCTAGCGGCCAATTGGGAACTGGGGATTGAACTAGCATTCCTTGAATCTCAAATCAACTGTGACACCGACGTCGTTCGGCCATTGTCTCCCCTAATAAACTCCCCTAAAATTGTCAAATTGTAAAAGTGCTTTTTTTAAGCCTATTTACAGAAATAAATGAGTTTTTCATGAATTTTATTTTCTAGTCTCCGGTATTTCGGTCTACAGGGTGTTGATTTCAATACTCGCCATATTTAGGGAGTTGATTAAGTAGCTTATTCTGATCACGAATCAGTAAAAAAATTTACTACAAAAAAAAATTAAATCTAACTAACTTTAGTTAGTCAAAGAATAAAATTTTATAAAAAAAAAACCGACTCCAAAAAACCTACACTAAAACGTAGAAAAATAATTACTAATTACTTACTTATTTATTAGGACGAATTATTAATATTTATGTAGGTATATCATGATTGATACTTCTGGAGTCGGTGCCAAGATTATGAAACATGTAAAGTTTGCCTGCACCGACTCCAAAAGTATCAATCATGATATACCTACATAAATATTAATAATTCGTCCTAATAAATAAGTAAGTAATTAGTAATTATTTTTCTACGTTTTAGTGTAGGTTTTTTGGAGTCGGTTTTTTTTTTTTTTATAAAATTTTACTTATTNAATTGGCGGAGCTATCGCGTAACAAACATAGAAAAAAAAAAAAAACATACGGGTCGAATTGAGAACCTCCTCCTTTTTTGAAGTCGGTTGAAAATACCTATTTACAGTACCTACTTTACGTGGCTTCCTTCAGTAGGTTATCCGACATGATAAGCGAGCGATCCGCGTAGCTCGATGGTGCCGTAGTGTAAACTATTGCAGTATTGCGAGCCACAGTACAGTTGATTTCGCACGGAAAATATTTGCTAAAAATTCCACTTTCGTTTGCAAAACTTTTTTGGTGGATAATGCGTTTATTTAAGTCAGGATAGATCCCAACTAATATTATAAATGCGAAAGTAACTCTGTCTGTCTGTTACGCTTTCCCGCTTAAACCTCGCAACCGATTTTGATGAAATTTGGCATAGAGATAGTTTGAGTCCCGGGAAAGAACATAGGATAGTTTTTATCCCGGTTTTTGAAACAGGGACGCGCGCGATAAAGTTTTTCTGTGACAGAGAAAATTCCACGCGGGCGAAGCCGCGGGCGGAAAGCTATCACCTAAATAAATATGGCGAGGATTGAAATCAACACCCTGTATAATATAGTTGTTAGTTACCTTGTGCCGTGTAACCTTGTGTGCGCAGGTGATGACGGCGGAGCGGCGCGAGTACGGGCGCGGGCACCGCGACGCGCCCGAGTACTTCCCCGCGCCGCCGCCAGACCACTACTACCCGCCGCCCGCCGCCTACGACGAGCCCTCATGGGGTAAGCTATTTAAGGTCTATTCCACTTTGATCACCTGGCTTTGATGACCCAGGTGATCAAAGTCCACTTCCAGCGACAATTTAGTGTCCTTTGATCACCCACGGATATGTGCCCTGGGTGATCAAAGTGGACTCCAGTTAAATTATTATTTTAGTGTCCTTTGATCACCTACATACAATTCACACCTCCTCTGAATAGACGTCATGACCAATTGTTGTAAGTACAAACATTTTCTTAATAGGTAGGTATAGACAAAATTTTTTATGCAGCATGAAATATTTTAAAGCGTTACTTACCTAAACAATGTTTGTCCGTACATTTAGTATAAGAGGAGATGTGATTTGTATGTAGGTGATCAAAAGACACTAAAATAATAATTTAACTGGAGTCCACTTTGATCACCCAGGGCACATATCCGTGGGTGATCAAAGGACACTAATTTGTCGCTGGAAGTGGACTTTGATCACCTGGGTCATCAAAGCCAGGTGATCAAAGTGGAATAGACCTATTTTTAAAGTTTGCTCGTATCACATAGCGAGGAATTCACTGCTGATGTTTAAAAAAACAACATTTAATATTTTTAAAAATATATTGAGAGAACTCTGGAGCAAAACTAGAAAAACTTTATGAAACCACGATAGCCTAAGAGTAGGCGCACACCGTTGATTTTTAGTTGGCCGATAGTTGTGCCCGATTTTAAATTGTATGAAGAATCGGCCAAATCGAATCGGTGTAGTGTGCGCACTCCCATTGCCCATACTGATCAACTGCCCGACTAAACTATCGGCCTACGAAAAATCAACGGTGTGCGCCTACTCTTAACGGTGAAGTGGTCGGACTGGCCGGCTCGTGATCCGAGGAACGCGGGTTTGTGTTCCGCCGCCGCTCAACTCCTAACACAAGCATTTTTAGCTTAGTACGAGGGAGGGGCTAACAGGACTAAAAAAACAACCTGAAAAGGTTGAAGAGTTACATTGATTTATGAGCGTTTAATTACATCCGTGATATTTCGAGATGAATTATAATGATTTGTTTTTACATTTTCATAAAATAGGTTCCCGCAGTGTCCAATCAGGACGACGTAAGTTTAGTTTTGTTTAAGTCTATATTTCGTGTTTTAGCGATTGATTCTTGATTTTGGTGGTAATTCTATAATGCTAAATGTATTGTTTAATTTTTATTCCTCTATGTAATAGTTTTATTTAATATTCACGTACTGATTTTTTGGGTTATTTCGTAACTTGGGACACACCAACCACTATTATTCTGCGTGATATTGTTTTCCTTTTCCTTTTAAAATATACGTAAAATTTTTATGAGGGAATATTTATCACACACTAACAAAATTCTTTTTTATAGAAACTACTAACATTATCCTATGAAATCTATGCTCTTGTTTGAAATACTTCTATGACCAGGTTTGACTTTTTGTTCGTGTGTAAATAACATTTTTCTTTTCATTCCCAAAACTGTTAGCATTGACCTGCGCAAACGTAGACACTTTTTGTTGCCGAAAACAATAAGTTGTGTTTGGTAACGGCTATTGGCTATACGCAGTACCTATATTAAAGTAAANCGGTGTGCGCCTACTCTTAACGGTGAAGTGGTCGGACTGGCCGGCTCGTGATCCGAGGAACGCGGGTTCGTGTTCCGCCGCCGCTCAACTCCTAACACAAGCATTTTTAGCTTAGTACGAGGGAGGGGCTAACAGGACTAAAAAAACAACCTGAAAAGGTTGAAGAGTTACATTGATTTATGAGCGTTTAATTACATCCGTGATATTTCGAGATGAATTATAATGATTTGTTTTTACATTTTCATAAAATAGGTTCCCGCAGTGTCCAATCAGGACGACGTAAGTTTAGTTTTGTTTACGTCTATATTTCGTGTTTTAGCGATTGATTCTTGATTTTGGTGGTAATTCTATAATGCTAAATGTATTGTTTAATTTTTATTCCTCTATGTAATAGTTTTATTTAATATTCACGTACTGATTTTTTTGGGTTATTCCGTAACTTGGGACATACCAATCACTATTTTTCTGCGTGATATTGTTTCCCTTTTCCTTTTAAAAAAAAAAAAATTTTTATAATGGAATATTTATCACAAACTAACAAAATTCTTTTTTTTTATAGAAACTAACATTATCATATGAAATCTATGCTCTTAAGGCTCGATTCGACCAAACTTTTATCCAAGAATAATTCTTAGTATAACTGGCACATTAACAATTTCAGTATGGGAAATATGTCAAAACTGACGATTTATTCTGAGATTAATATTCACTCTTGTTTGGTCGAATCTACCCTAAGTCGAAACACTACTATGAGTCTATGACCAGGGTTGACTTTTGGTTCGTGTGTAAATAACATTTTCTTTTCATTCCCAAAACTGTTAGCATTGACCTACGCAAACGTAGACACTTTTTGTTGCCGAAACGGCACACTAAGTTGTGTCTAGTAACGGCTATTGGCTATACGCAGCGTAGTACAATAATAATTGTAATAAGAAAATTTGCTTGTGATGTGTTGTTAGTTTCAGAACGTCGACACCGAATACTCTTTATTAGGAGACAAGTAGGTATGTGTAAACCACTAAAAACAAAGTGTCTACGCCTGCGCGGGAAGTGGTTGGTTTCATATTGGTTTTATGAAAATAAAGGCGCAGTCTGTAGAGACTTAGCAGTAGTGCTAAGGACTAAAACCAGAGTAAATACAAATGCGTAGGTTATCTTCATAGAAACGCACCGGGCGCGGTTTGTATGTGAGCGCGCCAATACGTATGCGGCGCGCACGCACACACTGACAAAATTTAGCGTGGATTAGCGGGGAGCCAGTCGTGGTTGCGCCGAATTTTGTCGGTGTGCGCGTGCGCGCCGCATACGCATATTGGCGCGTCATACAAACCGCGCTCGGTGTGTTTCTATGAAGATAACCTACTCATTTACTCCTACTAGGTGGACTGACGATCTGGTAAAGGTCGCGGGAAGAGCCTGGATGCGGGCAGCGCAGGACCGTTCATTGTGGAAAACCTTGGGGGAGGCCTTTGTCCAGCAGTGGACGTCATTTGGCTGAAACGAACGAACTTACTCATTCGTATTTACTCTGCTAAAACTAACGAACACCTTCCAGGTCACCCGGAGCCGTCGGGCTGGGCGCCGAGCGAGATAAAGGAGCTGACGCCCGGCCCGGCCATGGGCCCGCCCAGCATGGGCCCGCCGCCCATGGGCATGGCGCCGCCGCCCGGCCACATGGCGCCGCCGCCGCACATGCTGGGCGCGCCGCCCTTCGCGCCGCCCTACCGCCACCTGCCGCCGCACGACCGCGACCGCGACCGCGACAGGGACCGCGACAGAGAGCGCGACCGAGACCGCGACAGAATGAGGGAGAGGGACGAACGCGAGCGCAGTCACAGGAGAGATGACGTCAGTTTTACACACAATGAGGGTTTTCGCGATTGAAAAATCCGCCAGATGGCAATACGTAGACGGGAAGTCCAAATGCTGCATGATTGGTGGATTTTGACATATCTGTCAATGTCATGTCAAAAATAACCAATCATGCAGCATTTGAACCTCGCGTCTACGTATTGCCATCTGGTGGTTTTTTCAATCGCGAAAACCCTCATTTCATTAGTGCTCTTTATTATTATGTGGCAGATTTTTTAATTGGCGTTTTCGTTTGTTTTTTGCAGGAAGACAGAGATCGCGAAAGGGATAGGGAACGCGACCGCTCGAGGTCTATCAAACCCGACAGAATTAGAGAAAAGTGAGTATGCTGATTGAGAATAATGAGGACGTTAATATTATAGTGAAATGCATATTGGTTTTAATCGATATTCGTATTTTTATAGAAAGCACAAGTAAGTTTTATAGCACATTTTTAAAAAGAGCTCTCGCTAATAATTTGCAACTCAACTCACATGATAGAAGATCAATCACTAGTCAATTCTTTTCCCACTCCACCCTCACTTAAAACACATGACAACAAAATATGTGAATGTTCACACACGTTACGTCCTAGCTTCATAACTTTTATAAATCTGTCTAAACTAAAATTGTATTCCAGGTCCTACAGAAGAGAACGATCTCGCTCTCGTTCGCGCCGCCACAAGTCGCGCTCGCGGTCGCCGCGGATGCGCGAGCGCTCTAGAGACCGCGAACGTTCCCGGGACAGGGAACGCGAGCGCGAACGCTCGCGCGACCGCGACCGCTCGCGCGACAGAGAGCGCAGCGTCAAACCTAAAACCAAGGAGAACAAAGAGAAAGAAGATGATAAGTAAACTAGCAGATAGCTTTAGTTACAGTGAATGTATACTTTTTGATCCGGAAAACTTGAGCACTCAATTAGCTTGTTATTTTTAAGTTAAGATACAATAAATCGATATGTAAGGTGGTTATTTGTTTTCTTTTCCACGGTTTCCACCGCTATCACCATACCTTTTATTTCCTTATGTGTTATAACAATTAAATCATCAATCATCATCGAGCCACAGGTCGTACACTACTGAAAAGGCCTCTAAATGAATTTAAACCTCTTTCATATTGTGCGATTGGAGATATAATCTTACATTACATCCAGCGTCTTTATCCTGAAAGTGGATGGTGGGACGCTTGTCGGTACTTTGCTTCCATTCTTGCTGCTCCATCAGTGGGCAGTTTGCGTGCTAAGATTGATCGATAGTAGCATCGAGGGGGTAGGAATAGTAGAAGTAATGATAGTATGACTTGCAAGGTCACGATGAAAACATGTACTATTGGTATTGTATGTATTGCTGCTCATCGATAGACCACTATCGATACTATTGCCTTTACTAGACACTAATAGTAAAGGCAATAGTATCGATAGCTTAGTTTTACGTCCGGTATAGGTCGCGCAGCATTCAGTTTAAAAATAAAATCCTAATATAACTAGGAATAATGAACTACAGAGTTCACTAATCCCCGTTATATTAGGATAATTAGTTCATTATTCCCCATTATAAGCTCCAATTTGGCGTTAACGGGGAATAGTGAACAAAAAGTGCACTAATCCCCGTTGACGGGGATTGTCAACGGGGAATAGTGGAATAAGCCAGGGAAAGTAGGGTAAACCACCCAATTATTGGCACTTTAAGCAGCTACTTCACAAAACCGGTAAAATTTGCATGTAAGAATATGTTATATCAAAGAAAAAAACATTTATATTGGTCTTTTAATCTTTGCAGAATATTATAAAGTACTTATCATTAATAAATTAAATCATTTATTCAATATAGTGTACCTTTTAAAAAAATACCTCAAAATACCAGTTCCTGGCATAGCCAAACCTTTTATTGGCAGTGATAATTACCTATTATTGTCACTGTTCTCGTAAGACTGAAAAATAGCTGCTAGGTCTTATGTAGAGGTTTTAAAGAGATTCATGATAGAAATAAACAAAATAAAATCCTTTGTTATAAGAAAAGTAACATTCATTTGTATAGGAACATACCATATCAGTTCAAACACTTATATTTAAATATGGTTTTAAACTTTCCATAAACACTTTTATCAAATCTTCTTTTCTCTTCGGAAATCCTTTTTGCTACTGATTTTTATTTTATCCAGTCAACAAAAAGCTGTTCTTCCTTGTCAGATAAAATTGTGAACGGACCGGGTTTAGAGCGATGATCAGGATTTTTCAATCTGAATTGTATAGTAGACCGTGGTACCACTTTTAAAGCCTTTCAGAACCTTTCAAAGGCCTATTCCACTAATCTCGGGGATTAGTGAACTTTTTATTCATTAATCCCCGCTAACGCCAATGGAGCTTATAATGGGGATTAATGAACTAAAAAGTTCCTTAGTAAAAAACGAATATTTCGATTGTTTTTTTCGCACAGGTCCCGGTTTGTCAAAAAAATGGTTGAAGCGCAGCGATGTTTGAAAAAATAAAAAAAGTGTGTAGCCAGTTGAGTAATAAATGATATTACTCTACAATTTCTACTAAAAAATATAAGGTTTGGCTACAAAGAATCTTAATTTTCTTAAAAAACTGGAGCATGCCAATAAATTGGTTGAGTACCAATTTATTTTTCAAACTTCTGCGTTGAGCCATTTACNCGCAATAAAACGACACAATCGCATCAAGTTTGGGTTTGGTTCAATTTTAATTTCTGTGATGGGTCTGGGTGTTAATATGTAATAATAAGTTTGTATTTACAAAAAAAAAATGTATTTAAGTATGTTTATATCCGTTTTCTAGTGAGCGGATACTGTGAATGTACGTCACGCGGGGTCACGTGACCGTCGGCGGCACTCAATATTTTTGCGAACTTTGAATGCCTATAAAATCATAACTACTGGGTATTTCTGAATGAAATAAAAACTAATGCATTTGTAAATGTAAAAGCCTAACTGTAACATAGGTTTCAAGTGATTTTGCATACCTAGTAACATTCTCAATTCTTTTTCTACTCCACTCCCTCACTTAAAACACATGGCAACTAAATATGCCCACACAGTCTGTATGTCCGTTAAACTAGCTTTTTAACAGGGTTCGAAAATATCCGATATTTATTATAAATATCAAAATATCGGATATTTATGATATATATCCGATATATATCAACTTTGATATATATCAATTTTGTATGAAAGCAATAGTATTATTTTATTATATTATTCATGAATACTATTGCATATGTGGCACATAAACATGTTTTTAATGTTTTTAAAACTTAAAATCAGACAAATAAAGCAAAAACATAAAATATCTTTGAAATACGGCAAAATCACCTAAAAAAATAAAAATCTTATGTCAAAAAGTACAAATACAGTAAGAAATTTTAAAAGTTGATATATATCATCAAAACCGGCTTGATATATATCGGATATATATCCGATATATATCTTGATATATATTTTCCTTTGATATATATCCTCGAACCCTGCTTTTTAACTTTTATACATTTCTCTAAACTAAAATTGTATTCCAGGTCCTACAGAAGAGAACGATCACGCTCTCGTTCGCGCCGCCACAAGTCGCGCTCGCGGTCGCCGCGGATGCGCGAGCGCTCTAGAGACCGCGAACGTTCCCGGGACAGGGAACGTGAGCGCGAACGCTCGCGCGACCGCGACCGTTCGCGCGACAGAGAGCGCAGCGTCAAGCCTAAAACCAAGGAGAACAAAGAAAAAGAAGATGAGAAGTAAACTAGCAGATAGCTTTAGTTACAATGAATGTATACTTTTTGATCCGGAAAACTTGAGCACTCAATTAGCTTGTTATTTTTAAGTTAAGATACAATAAATCGGTATGTAAGGTGGTTATTTGTTTTCTTTTCCACGGTTTCCAACTTTCCACCGCTATCACCATACCTTTTATTTCCTTATGTGTTATAACAATTACTAATAGGTTCCGATTGCTTTGTAAAAGAATTAAATGTCAAACAAAAATCACTGAGCGATAGGATGTAATCATAAAATAATATCAATAAATGATAGTTTTGGAAGTTTCCCAGACGAGACTACAGTTTATTTATCTCTCATTAGCTTTCCGCCCGCGGCTTCGCCCGCGTGGAATTTTGTCTTTCTCAGAAAAACTTTATCGCGCGCGTCCCTGTTTCAAAAACCGGGATAAAAACTATCCTATGTCCTTTCCCGGGTACCTCTAGGCCAAATTTCATCAAAATCGGTTCAGTGGTTTAGGCGTGAAAGAGAGACAGACAGAGTTACTTTCGCATATTTATAAGATTGGCTTATTTGAGTGTTATTGCAAAACTATCGATAGTGACCTTCGAAAAATAGTCGACATGATGGCGATAGTCCTATCGAAATGCTGCAATACTGTCGAGATTTAGTATATCGATACTGTCTTTAGCAATCATTATCATCGAGCCACAGGTCGTACACTACTGAAAAGGCCTCTAAATGAATTTTATACCTCTTTCATATAGTGCGATTGGAGATATAATCTTACATTACATCCAGCGTCTTTATCCTGAAAGTGGATGGTGGGACGCTTGTCGGTACGTTTCTTCCATTCTTGCTGCTCCATCAGTGGGCAGTTTGCGTGCTAAGATTGATCGATAGTAGCATCAAGGGGTAGGAATAGTAGAAGTAATGATAGTATGACTTGCAAGGTCACGATGAAAACATGTACTATTGGTATTGTATGTATTGCTGCTCATCGATAGACCACTATCGATCGATACTATTGCCTTTACTAGACACTAATAAATAGTAAAGGCAATAGTATCGATAGCTTAGTTTTACGTCCGGTATAGGTCGCGCAGCATTCAGTTTAAAAATAAAATCCTAATATAACGGGGAATAATGATCTAAAAAGTTCATTAATCCCCGTTATATTAGGATAATTAGTTCATTATTCCCTATTATAAGCTCCAATTTGGCGTTAACGGGGAATAGTGAACAAAAAGTTCACGAATCCCAAATCACGAATAGTGGAATAAAACAGGGAAGGTACTCTTAATACTGTAGATAGAAAATTTTACTCCAAGAAAACATTCCTTTATTTTTGAAAAGAAAGAGAACTGCATTCAAAGATTTTTGATTTTTTTTCGAAAATTCACTACCATACCATACAATTTTCTGTAACTAATTAAAATAATTTAAGAATTCATGGTTTTCCTTTCATTTGATTCATCAAGTTTGTTAGAGAGATTTAATCCTTATACTTAACCCTAACGATCGATGCAATAAAAATACAGGGTGTAATTTTTAACAAATTTTCGTTGGTTCGATTCCCGGGTATGGGAAGCAAATTTTTAGAAATCTTTGAATGCAGTTCTATTTCTTTTCCTAAATTAAGGAATGTTTCCTTTGAGTAAAAGTTTCTATCTACAGTATTAAGAGTAGTGCTCCAGGTGGCATTACAAAATTCCACCCTGTATATTTCAAGACAAGTAGTTAATTATTTTATTATATCTATATATATAAAAATTAAACCCGTTTTCCGTTGTCACGACATAACATGAAAACGGCTTGACCGATTTGGTTGATTTTTTTTGTAGTTTTCTAATACTCTGTACAAGGTTTTTACGGAAAAAAATATAAAGAAAATCTCTCAGAAAGATTGAAAAATATACATTTAATTTTGCATATATATCTATATATATAAAAATTAAACCCGTTTTCCGTTGTCACGACATAACATGAAAACGGCTTGACCGATTTGGTTGATTTTTTTTGTAGTTTTCTAATACTCTGTACAAGGTTTTTACGGAAAAAAATATAAAGAAAATCTCTCAGAAAGATTGAAAAATATACATTTAATTTTGCATATTTTAAAAAACGCGCGTAACGAATGTCAACGTCATTTAATTTATTAGATAGATGAAGAGGGTATAGTTCCAAAATACTGAACTGTCCTATCCATGACATTGACAGCGGGGCGCCACCGTCAATACCGGATCGCTGGTTCCGATTTTTTCCATGTTGGAAACCATATAGTTGAACGATGGTAGCGCCCCCCTGTCATTGAGTTTGGCGGGACAGTTCAGCGTGGGCACGGTAATAATATCATACAGTATTGTAACTTCATATAAACAGACGAAACGAGAACTTTCTTTCGAAATTCAAATCTCGGTATGCGCTCGGTATGCAAAAAACGGGGGTGTCGCGAATCTGCCGAATGGACGTCGGTGGCCAAGTGTTAAAAATGACAAAACTAATTGAATTTGACTGACCGTCATTTACGGTCAAATTGGTCAAAAACTAGTCAAATTTACATTTTCAGTCAGTTTGATTTGAAATGAAAATTATATTGTATCAAACCAGCTTTTGCCCACGACTTCGCCCGCCCGAAATTAAAGTAACAGATCATTAAGATTATTAAAGTTTCGAAATTATTTAAGTAGTTTTTACTAAATTAAATCTACTAATCACAAAACGACACACATTTTTAACCTATTCCATTCATAAAGTATTTTGTTTGTCTAACTAAATAAAAAAATACAATCACAAAACTAGATAGAAATTCTAAGTAGGCAGATGTAATTAAACTGGGTACTGTAGGTGGGCAGCCCTACCGCATGTTGTCATACTGTGACGTACCGCGCGACTGTTGACATTTATTTCAAAAATATGGCCGAGTTGGAATACTGTATAGATAGTATTACCGTGATTTAAAATAGGTAGTTGAAACAAACCACAGCTAATTTTCATAGTGGACTGTACTATACGATAAACATGTCAGTCAATTTGACAACCTTTGTCGGAAACATTATTCAATGAAAATATTGTCCGAACCCTTAGTATTTCTCTTCGACAAATACTTTAACACATTGTGAACCACTTTTCTTTCACGACTATAAAAATATTTTAGCAATTTAATTCATAAAACCAATTGCGCACATTTAAAATAAAGTTTGTTTACACTTTGACAACAATAGACTGACATGCAAGGTGACATGTCAATGAAGTTTTCAGTTACTGTTGCCATTAAAAGAAATTAGTACCATTAGTTTTCCGCAACATGGCGAGGGTTTTTATGTTCCTGGTCAGGCTATAGATAGTATTACCGTGGCGTGGGTCATCTATAAAACGGGATCCACGCGTACGAAGTCGCGGGCGGCCGCTAGTTGCTAATAAAATACAAATATTTTTTCAAAAATATTCTGCATATTTTATGTGTAGTATGCGTAATATGGATAACCTTGAAGTGTCATACGGATCATCTTAGGTATAGTTCCAAAATACTGAACTGTCCTATCGATGACATTGACAGCGGGGCGCCACCGTCAATACCGAATCGCTGGTTCCGATTTTTGCCATGTTGGAAACCATATAGTTGAACGATGGTAGCGCCCCCCTGTCATTGAGTTTGGTGGGACCGTTCAGCGTGGGTCATCTATAGAATAGAATAGAATAATTTTTTATTTGAAAGAGAGACATACAAGCAGGAAAAACATACATACACAATGAAGGAGATACACAAATTAATGTACAGATAGCTGCTTGAGCCCCTCTGACAAAAAGGCACCCGCTCAGCATACATCAAGACCGCGCCAGTGCTTGTCTCGAAACTGATTTTCAGCGGATTTGATTTTATAAAAAGACTGTAACGATTGATGCAATAAAAATACAGGGTGTAATTTTTAACAGATTTTAGTTGGTTCGATTCCCGGGTGAGGCAAGCAATTTTTTAGAAATCTTTTTGAATGCAGTTATTTTTCTTTTCCTAAATTAAGGAATGTTTCCTTTGAGTAAAATTTTCTATCTACAGTATTATGATGACCCACGCTGAACTGTCCCGCCAAACTCAATGACAGGGGGGCGCTACCATCGTTCAACTATATGGTTTCCAACATGGCAAAAATCTGAACCAGCGATCCGGTATTGACGGTGGCGCCCCACTGTCAATGTCATCGACAGGACAGTCCAGTATTTTGGAACTATAAGAGTACTTTCCCTTCAGGTGGCATTACAAAATTCCACCCTGTATAAAGCCCGGTCTGTGAGCACGTAGAATTTTGTCCAATGACCCCAAGCTACCCATCCTTATTGCTCGCGCGTAATTATATTGCTGTCGCGACTGTGCGATGGGCGCCCGCAGTGAGTGCCATTTGTACAGACCATAGTTGAACGATGGTGGAGCCCCCTGTCAATGACTTTGGTGAGCAACTTTCATTGCGGGGCAATGCGCGACACGTTGATCGTATAGCGCGCTGTCGATACTTTTCGCACATGGCGATCTATCGATATCCTGATTAGCCATATGTAGAATAGCAAATAGTGACTGAATTAAAAATGTTCCCGGTGTGTATTCCTACCTATCCAATATTTGTGTTCCCGAGTGTAGTGTTAATGGGAATAGGATGTGTTCAGGGTAATAACTAAATACGAATAAAAGACAGATGCTTTGTAATATTATTACAGAAATGCTTTATTATAATTAATGTCTAAATAGATGGATCATCATATAAATGTTATCTAGTACAACCTACAAGGCGGGGCGGCTGGAGCCGCGACCAGTCAGACCTCGCCGCTCTGGACGCCTCGCCTTATTCCATCACATACAAGGTTTTACAAATCATTTTGTTAACTTTTTGTACAGCCATATACAATAATTTTATTTTCAATTACATCTAGACGTAAAAAATTTGAGGTGTCGTAGGAAACTACGCTTCCTATAAAAAATAATTACAGGGGAATGAGGAGCAGCTACGCTTGTGACGTGCAACCGGCAAGGCAGACCTCGGGACTACAACTATCAGTACAGGACTTTACAATCATCACTATAACCTACCTACGCTAACCAAAGCATCGCCCACTCGATCGCGCTCGCTCCGATCTCCGTCGGAGGCACATTAACTAAATAACTTAATTACATAAAAATATACAAAAATATCATTTTCACAAAATTATAATCGACAAACTATACATTCCGGCACTAAACAATATTCGATAAACTATGTACGATTTTAAAGCCGGTTTTTAACTTAAACGAGAGCTTGACTTGAAGAATAGTACAAAATAATAATATAATCACGACTATAGTGCCGATTGTCTAGAACTGCCTGCGGCATTTCTTCATCGAAGATTCAAGGTCCCCTAGCCCAGCTAATAGTAAATCTACAACGAGCTAAATTACGGAATCGCGCGTGTCCGCAAGACCACTAGCATTCCTTCGATTTATAAATTACACGAGAATGAGAGACGTTCAAATATTTATACATAGATTCATACGAACAACGAATAATACTAGAACACTTACGAGCTAGAAACGCAATGCACGCAGCGCCGCGGCGACGCGACGGCCGAGCGCCGGGGGCGTGTCGCTGTACAACTAGTTACGTTACCTGTACATCAGTCTGCTATGTACAGCCGCTCGAGGCGAGCTCTATAGTTACAAATGTACAATCGCAAATATTCACAAATTTATAATAGGCGGGGACACCCGCGCCGTCGCATCGGCCCTCCCGGCGGCGTGCACGCTCTACACACACTACAGCACGGGGTTGGGCGGCGGCGGCCCGATGGGCCCGAGCTCGGGCGCCTTCATGAAGAACTTCTCCAGCTTGGCGATGATGTGCTTGCCGTACGTGTACTTGCGCAGCGAGCCGATGTGCGGCCGGATCTTGTGCATGAGCACCTTGCGCTGCGTGGGCTCGGCCACGTCGATCATCTTCTGCACCACGTAGTTGGCGTACTGGTCCTTCATCATCACGTGCAGCGCGCTGAAAAACGCACGACTACGCTCAATTTTACAGACCGACACTTCGGCGGGCAAGAGCCACGCCACAACTAATTGTAAGGCAATGTATGTGAATAGAAATATTGATGTGAACATGGTATTTAATTAAGTAAATATCTGAACAAATGAACAATTAAAAATGATTTATTGATCCTTTAAATCTCATTGTTATGACCAGGGCCCAGGGTATTTTTTTAAATTCAAATGCTTTTATGTGCAGATAACTATTTTGTGGGCAGCGCAGGACCGGTCGTTATGGACATCATTGGGGGAGGTCTTTGTCCAGCAGTGGACGTCATTTGACTCAAACGAACAAAAGAACGAATTATTTTGTAAGGCTCGTGAAAATTTGATATTGAGTGGAGGCATCAAAGACTTCCTTGTTATATGATCAAGCATCGAAGGCGTAGGCAGTAGGTACTGACTTGTCGTTGAAGCCGCACAGCTCGTCGATGAGCAGCGCGCGCTCGTTGCGCGTGGCGTGCGTGACGCACTTCTCGACGACGTTGGAGGCGAACTTGTGCTGCGACAGCTGCAGCACCTTGCCGCGCACCGCGCCCACCAGCCGCGAGCGGTCCTCCGCCGCGCCGTGCTCCAGCACGTGCTGCACCACGTAGTTGCCGTACTGGTCCTGGGAATATACATCATCAGTGAGTACAGTACCCGGCAATAAATATTGCACATCGACCTTTGGAAAGAGAATCGGTTAATTTCGGCTCGTAGAGCGTTATCTCTGTAGCACACTACCTATACGATTGACAAAACGTCATTAACAAAACATTATTCAATGAAAATATTGTCCGAACCCTTGGTATTTCTCTTTGACAAATACTTTAACACATTGTGAACCAATTTTCTTTCACGACTATAAAAAGATTTTAGCAATTTAATTCACAAAATCAATTATTGCACACATTTAAAATAAAGTTTGTTTACACTTTGACAAAACGTCATTGTCAGTCGTTGTTCAAGTGCGACAGTAATAACGCTCTACAAAACCGAAATTAGCCGATGGTCTTTTTCTAAAGGTCGATGTGCAATATTTATCGCCGGGTATTGTACACATTATGACAACACTAGCTATTCGACCGCGGTATTTTGTCTGTCACAGAAAAACTTTATCGCGCGCGTCCCTGTCCCAAAAACCGTTATAAAAACTATCCTATGTCCTTTCCCGGGACTCTTATCTCCCTGCCAAATTTTGATCAAAATCGGTTCAGCGGTTTAGAAGTTCTCAAAAGGCCATCGGAAGACCAACGATTTGCAGGCCTAGGATATGAGATAAGCTTTTATCGATAAGCAATTTGTCGTCTTAAAATAATCGATGATTTTACTACGGCGCGCATCTTAGCCCGGCTGGCGAGTCGCGTGAAGAACCTGGATGCGGGCAGCACAGGACCCGACCCATCATAGTGGAATTCCTTGACTTGATCAAAAGAGGACGGCCATTTGAGAGGTCGAAACGGTCGAACGAAAACGCGTGACGTAAGGAATTTAATTGACAAAGTCGCCGTTACCACGTTGTGGGGTGAGTTAACGCATGTTCGGTGCTCCCGTACCTTCATCCAGTCCACGATTTCTTGCCCGTGTAGACACAAGCGAAGTTTTATTATCCGCAGTACGTACCTGTATGAGCTGGTCGGTGTGCGCGTGGAGCTCGGCGAGCACGGGCGCGGTCTGGTCGGGCGTGCAGTGCTCGAGGATGCGCTGGATGACGCGGCAGCCGTACGGGTGCGTGGACAGCGCGTACACCTGCCCCGCGAACGCGTTGATGATGAACTGCAGCGCCGCCGGCTCCACGCACTCGATGCACTTCTGCACCTGTTGGATAATAACAGTGGTTAGTGTGATCACATCTGATTGTAAGTGAACTGTGTGCTTACCATGAGGTTACGTTAAGTGTGGTCGCTAGCGAGTACGTCAAAAAATATATTATTATGATGATTTTATTTCTTGAAAGTAGCCGCTAGGGGCGCTGCACAATATGTCATACATTTAATGTCATTTTTTTACGCGGTCGCTAGCGAGCACACATAACGTAAACTCATGGTAAGCACACTGTAGTCGATCAGTACAAACGGTTTTTTGGTCAGCAGTGGTAAATTAGTAACTCGATTAATGCGAACAAGGCTTTAGCGTTACCTAACGTCGCTAATTGCTTCCTAGCGGTTGGTAGAACTTGAAGGAAATGGATTTGTTATATTTGAACATCGAATTTAGGTGATCGCTATGTGTGGTGAAAGCAGGCATGAAGCCCACGCTGCGTGGAGCGCAACGTAAAGGTGTTCTACCAAGGACCCTCTTTCCCACTTGATGCTGGGGGTGGGGGACTACGACGACGGCGACGACGACGTGCCCAAGACCTCACAAATAGAGAGGCCGACTGCTCTAAAAAAATTTTGAATACTAACAGTTTTACATTTCCCCTTTTTCTAGAAGGGGAATTTGATCACACACACGGCCCCCCAGTAGGTATTAAAATTGCAGCCAGAAATCACGACAGACGATCGGTTGCGTCAGAAATTGTTTCTAATGACCTTATCAGAAATTCCGATTAGCCAAAACGCATGTAAGTCGCGCCGGCAACGCTCGCAGCTTGCTCATGAATCGTGACTTAGCAACACCAAATCCACGGTATTGCAATTTAACATGCAAGCCACAAATTGATTTCAGAGACCGCATTGTTAAATTGATAAAATTAAAAATATCCGCAATAGTAGTGCAGTTTATTTCATAGGTAGCTTACTTCTTAAAACATCACAAAAGATCTACAGCCCGTTAGGGAACAATCAGTTTAGGATGTGAAGTAGAGCGTGGGGGGAAACATAAGACTGTAAGCTATTTGATTCCACGACAATCGTTACGTGTGGATAGATGTAAAATTCGCGTGGAAGACTATTTCGTCATTATAACTACTCGGCCAACTTTGACGCGTCCTAAATTATAAACGGAATCAGTCAAACTGCACTCAACTCACGGGCGGTGTACAAGGGTCTGTAGTCTTTGGTAAAAGCTCCCGCAGTATATTAGTCTCGATGACTCACCACGTGGTTCCCGTTCTGGTCCTTGACGCACTTGAGCACGTGCCCGTCGAGCTCGCGCACCACCTCCTGCTGCTGCTCGGCCGGGATGGACTCCAGCGCCTTCTGGATCACGCGGCAGCCGTACATCTGCAGCGCCAGCGCCAGCACGTGACCGCGCACCTGGAAATTAACACAAATAATAATAACAACTGACATTCATGGAGCGTGGACGCTAAGGCCCAGAACACACGGTGAAACGCAATTGCAACGAAACTGCAACTTCTAGTTACTTTTGAGTTGCATCTAAGTTTTAAACCGGTTTCAAACTGGTCGCGTCATGTGTGGTCTCTCAACGGACGCTATGGCAGACACTTAGATGCAACTCAAAAGTAACTAGCAGTTGCAGTTTCGTTGCAGTTGCGTTTCACCGTCTGTTCTGGGCCTAATACTCTATAACGCTTCAACCACACCAACGCGTGCAGATCGCCATGTTTGGACTTCTTCTTCGCGCGGACTGTCATGGGTCGCGCGACCTGTCATTGACCTATGATCGCGCCGGCGATGGCGATCTGCACGCGTTGATGTGGTTGAAGCTTAAGCGTATTAGCGCTGAATGTTTCGAACTGACTCAGTGCCTGAGATATGGGAGCGACACGGAAGGGTGTTATTGTGACGTCAAACGACAGCGAGACTTCAAAATGTGCTACAGACTTGTATGCTCTGTCACCCCTCCCGTGCCGCTCCCATACTGACTCAGTTATGCTCTAGACCTGGTCCTGTTAACCTATCGTGGTAAGCTTAAATGCTTGTGTTACGATTGGGATCACCTACAACAGAACTAGTGGCAGTGGGGCCGGAACCCGCATGTCGTTATTCCGTGAGGCGCTCCATAGTGACTAAAAATTTATGAAATTATGCAGTTTCTCATCACCCACGCGTCCCTTCCTTAAACAATTTTCTTGAAATCAAGCGATGCTATTTGCAAAAATTTTTGGCCAAAAAGTTTCGAAAGAAATCAAATGTATCTTTAGCCAAATAAAACTTTAGTCTAATCATCAAGCTATGCATCATCATGGCTGTAACAGGTGCATCATGGTATTTTGCAACGAAAATGTATGTAATAAGTTATGTGATAAATTGACTGCATATTATTATGCTGTCTAGATATTTAATTGTGCCATTTGAAAAATATTTTTTAAACTACACATTCTGGTTCTTTAGACATCGCGGTGGCAGTTTCAAGGATTTTTTAACTAGTTTTTTTTATTAAAGTTCAAGCAACAAAATTAGGATTAGTCAACCGAAATTTCTAGTTCTAGTAAACCAGAATATGGAATGGACATTTTTGTCTGGTTACTTTCTGTATGTATATTAAACTAGTCAATATTTTTAATTAATTAAATAGTGTAAGTGTGTTAGTTTTAGTGTTATTGTGTACGTTATTGACTCAGTGTCAGTAACATTAATCAATATAGTGAGGTCACTCGACCGTAAAATGATTTAAACAAATCATGTACCTACAAACATTCATACCAGACATATATTTACATTAAAATTATTTTTCGATTTTATTATAATCATAAATGTCAGAGGTCTATCCAAAAGAAATGTTTAAGGTACCAAGTTCACTACGTGATTTGGACAGCGCTATTGATATTGGCGAAGATGATTCATTGTCATTAATATTGATGATGCTGTTAGCGGCACACCTATTACTAATTCGCAAAGAATATTTTAACAGTTATATTTGAAAACTATCCTAGAAACTAGTTTTGCTGATGTCTACAAAATGCACTAACATGATTAACAAACTTACTTTTTGCGCTAGTGTGGTCTTCTGTTCCGTAGTTCCAAACTCAAAGAATTTTTGTATCACATAGTTTCCGAAAACATCCGTCATTAGACTGTACGCGGCGCCGATGATCTCGTTGAATACCATTTGTTTTTCCTGAATTGTTGCTCTTTCAAGCTTTTGTTGAATAAATCTGAAAAATAGAAAACGTTTTTTAGTAAAGATGGTGTATTTTTTTCTTAACTCAGCATTGCATAAATTCAATTTGTGTTTAAGATTATTTCTTTCCACAGTGGCAATGAAGGACTTAGAGCTTGTCCAAACAAATGTTTCGACAACCCAGGACTGTCCTGGCGCTGCTGAACAAGGAGAGCCGACCCCAAATAATGGGAAATCGGAAATGGCTAGGACAAAGAAGTGTCACATTATATCTTTGTAGAAAATTTTGAAACAAGTACTATTTTGCTTGTTGCATAGAAATTAAATTAGTCTTGATCGAGATTAAATTGATTTTTGTATTAAAATAAGGATCAATATGGAAGTAACATCGCAGTTTTNGCAACTAATTGTAAGGGCAATGTATGTGAATAGAAATGTTGATGTGAATATGGTATTTCATTAAGTAAATATCTGAACAATTGCACAATTAAAAATGATTTATTGATCCTTTAAATCTCATTGTTATGACCAGGGGCCCAGGGTATTTTTTTAATTCAAATGCTTTAATGTGCAGATAACTATTTTGTGAGAAGAGCCTGAATGTGGGCAGCGCAGGAAAGGTCGTTATGAAAATCCTTGGGGGAGGCCTTTGTCCAGCAGTGGACGTCATTTGGTTGAAACGAACGAAAGAACGAATTATTTTGTAAGGCTCTTGAAATTTTGATATTGAGTGGAGGCAGGGTATTAATTAGCGTGGGTTAGCGGTGATGTGCGCTGAATTTTGTCAGTGTGTGCGTGCGCGCCGCATACGTATTGGCGCGCTCACATACAAACCGCGCTCGGGCGTTTCTATGAAGATGACCTACTCATTTGTATTTACTCTGGTGGAGGGCATCATCAAAGAGTGCTTTTGTTACAAATGAGCAAGCGTGTGAAGGGCGAAGGCGTAGGCAGTAGGTACTGACTTGTCGTTGAAGCCGCACAGCTCGTCGATGAGCAGCGCGCGCTCGTTGCGCGTGGCGTGCGTGACGCACTTCTCGACGACGTTGGAGGCGAACTTGTGCTGCGACAGCTGCAGCACCTTGCCGCGCACCGCGCCCACCAGCCGCGAGCGGTCCTCCGCCGCGCCGTGCTCCAGCACGTGCTGCACCACGTAGTTGCCGTACTGGTCCTGGGAATATACATCATCAGTAAGTCTATCTACACTCGGCATCAAATAAATCGCACCTCCCGCGACAAGCACTTATCAAACGTATGCATCCCCACTTCCCACCAACATTGGTACCATTTGAAAGCCTAGTTCTAAACTTCATTTCATTATAGGAAAGGTTTTTACCCCAAAAATGTGTCTTTACAAGGATCCAGAGTCACTTCTTCAAAAAATAGGTAGTTACGCTATAGCCATTTTTTATGACTATAAAACTGTTAAGTTGGGATTAATCGCTATCCATCTGTTAAAGAGGACACGTGAGATCTATATTTGGTTTTATAACCATAAAAATTGGTCTAATTGATCCCAGAGGTGAGCCCAAAGTGAGGTCTATTTTCAAGTCACATTTATGGTATATGTTAATCATTTATTTAGTAATGAAATGTATTTTTCTTTAAGGATATTTATTGGGCTTTCAAATAACACCAATATTGTTGGGGTACCATGATTATGTCAGAAGAAAATCTTTAAAGTTCGCGTCGCGGAAGGTGCGGTTTATTTGATGTTGAGTGTATCTATCTATAGCAGCCTTTGGGTTCGCCTTCGATAGGCCTCCTCTTCAACCCTCCACCGACTTCTGTCCCTAGCCACACGCATCCAGTTCACTCCAGCCTGTTGCCGGATATCATCTGTCCACCGTTTAGGCGGTCTTCCCCTGCTTCTCCCAGTTCCAAAATACTGAACTGTCCTATCCATGACATTGACAGTGGGGCGCCATCGTCAATACCGGATCGCTGGTACCGATTTTTGCCATGTTGGAAACCATATAGTTGAACGATGGTAGCGCCGCCCCCCCGATCTATACACATTATGACAACATTACAATATGAAGACGTAGTTGCCGTCATCCGCAACTAAATGACACTGCATGGGCGGGACACACAGCTCGTAGAGCTGATGACCGTAGGGGTATTATAAGTGAAGACCAACGATCTGCAGACCTAGGATATGAGATAAACTTTTTATCGATTTAACGTGATAAGCCCATACATTTGTCGTGTTAAAATAATCGATGATTTTATCACGGCGAGCATCCTAGCCCGGCTGGTGAGTCGCGGGAGGCACCTGGATGCGGGCAGTATAGGACCCGTCATAGTGGAATTCCTTGGGGGAGACTTGATCAGCGGCCTGCGTCCAGCGCTTTCCTTTATGATGCCGTCGGTCCACCTTGTACCCGGACGTCCCACACTGCGTTTTCCGGTATGCGACCTCCACTCCAACCGGGTAACATGGAAAGCATTGGGGGAGGCCTATGTTCAGCAGTAGACGTCCTATGGCTGAGATGATTATGATGACTTCATCAGAAGAGGACGGCCGAAACGATCGAACAAAAACGCCTGACGTATGGAATTTAAAGTCGCCGTTGTGGGGTGAGTTAACGCATGTTCGGTGCTCCTGTACCTCTAGTCCGCGATTCGTTGCCCGTGTAGACACTAGGGCATGCNTTATTAAAATAAGGATCAATATGGAAGTAACATCGCAGTTTTCTTCAGACACGACACGACAAATTAATTTCAACACAATTTTTTCCATAGCCGTGTTAGAGTTTACATTTTTAATATAGTCTAACCCCCTTATTAATAAAAGTTACACCTTATTTGAACTCTTAAACTGTCATTTAGTATGGAAATGTCATTTTAATCCAGAGTTCATCCTAGGTGTAACTTTTTATTAATAAGGCCCTCAGTGACTAGTTCCAAGATCTCACCTAGATCCATGCTGGTCCTGCGAGAACTCGACGATGTGGTTAGCCAGCTCCCGCAGCTGCAGGTTGGGGAATCTGTTGTTGCGGAAGTCTTCGAGCAGGCGCGAGCGGCCGGCCGGCGGCTTGTCGCCCACCAGCACGCCCACGCCGCCCACCCCGCCAACGCCTACACCGACGCCGCCCACGCCCACACCGCCTACGCCGCCCCCTACTAATTCTGAAAGAATTGATGGCTCTATTGGTTCTGAAACTTTTCGTTACCCTACGACAGTGTTTCTTAAACCTTTTTTGTCCACTTAGGATATCGAGCACAGTTTTAAGAAGCTGCCTCATAAAAAAGCAGCAATAAATTTCGATTACAATACTTGGTGACATTTATTTATGATTCTTAAATGGTCCATAAATTAGGTTGCGGACCCCATATGCGGACATATGCTCGCGGATCTCTATGGGTCCGCGGACCACAGGTTAAGAAACACTGCCTTACAATGTGGCCTAATTTTGCGCGAGGATTCCTCCTTTATTCGTTCATAGAAGTATGGGGTATGTCAAGACGCATTAAAAAGTAAAGGTACACGTATCAGGCTAACGTCAAAGATACACTGCAGAGCCACCCAAAATTTCAGACGTAAGTTTTTACAGTTAGATTGCTTGTAAATAATAAGTTAATCAGAAGACGCGACGCCTGTTCAAACATATTTGATTGAAATTTTGGCCACATTTATTTATTTACTTCAAATGCAAGTGAGCTTACAGACAGATCTAAAGCGCTTGCATTGCCAATTTGAAATTACATTTAAGTACTTAGTAGGTTTGAACGTATCAAATGCCCTAGTTGACCCCAGGCCGACGCCGCCCCCTACTAATTCAGAAAACATTAATGGCTCTATTGGTTCGGAAACTTTTCGATCCCCTACGATGTGGCCTAGTTTTGGGCGAGGATTCCTCCTTTATTCGTTATATTAAAGTACCTACAAGGCTTGTTTAGAAGCAACTATTTATTTATTATCATAGATAGTTATAAGTATTCGTGATTGAAAAGTAACGGAACGCGCTTAACATCAGGCCACCGTCAAAGTTACACTGCAAAGCCACTAATCAGCCATGTGGCGGACGCAGTTTTGACATTTAGATTGCTTGTAAATTAAAATAAGTTAGACGACGCACATATTGATGAAAAAATTTGACCGCAATAATGTTCAAACGCACAAATGACCAAGATCAATATAGCACGCCAGCAGTGACTACGGATTAAACCTATGTCTAGAACATTTTAGGGACATAGATTCTTTACAACAACCAGTTGGTGAGCCAGCATTTGACCAATAAAGTCGCCAGATGTCGCTATATGATATCAGGTAGTCATATGGACTTTCTTAGTTGTTGTTTGTTGTAAATACAAAAAACCTATGAAAAACAGGAAATACCGTAAATGTTTTTCAATGGGTGTGACGCAGAATGTGCATTTCGCAAAATGCGCACTTTTCTTTACAAATGTAAGGGCTGAAGAGTATATTTCTAAAAGCATAGTATGGAAAAGTGTGCATATTGCGAGTGCAATTTTGCGTCAGACCCCCCTTAAGGTTCGGTCAAACCAACGCGATCACACGCGATCAGCCGGCGTGCAGCGATCGCGTATTATCGCGTTGGTTTGGCCGAACCTTTAATTCGACTTCAAATATCAGTGTCGGGCTCACAATTTTCGCGAAATAATAGCAATTGATTGCTATTATTTCGCGACATATATATTCATAGCTCATTATAGCCTCAGCCGAGCGCTGGTAACCCCGGCACAGCGTAGTAGGACTAATGAAAGTTATTTTATGTTACGTGTAATAAAAATTACGCAAAAGCATAAACCCCAGCTTGATTGGATTGTATTTTAAGAAATTGATATACAGGGTGTTACTTTGCATTCTTGCCATATTTACAGAGGTGACTATATTACTGATACTGATCACAAATCCGTTAAAAAATAATGCCCGAAAAAATTTTTTTTTAATCTTGAGTATTTTATTTTATCGACAATCTGGTTAACACATCACTAATTATCGTAACGCATGCACATCACTTGTTGGCGATGGCGATGAAGACTTTTTTACTTTTTATTGTATTTTTAAATATCTATTGCAATCTATTGTCTTTAAAATGTCTTTTTGACACTTGTAAAAATCTGAGAAATCCATCAATCACAAATCACGTTATAAATTATACAAAAATGTCTGAAGTGTATTCAAACAACGAATAATTTAATCAAAATGGTGCCTGGAGTGTCTGCAAGACGTCTTAGACGAAATGCTTGATGACGTACCCTTAGCGTTACACCAAATGCTCTACTAGCAGCAGGATGGTGCTCCCCCACAATAAGGACGTCAAGTGCGCGAATAATACGTTTGGTGAACAGTGGATTGGACGAGTGGTCCAGTAGCTTGACCACCACGATCCTCGGACCTGACAACAATGGATTTTTGGCGTGACTTGAAACGACTGGTATGNAGTAGACACAAGCCTATGAAGCTTTATTATCCGCAGTATGTACCTGTATGAGCTGGTCGGTGTGCGCGTGGAGCTCGGCGAGCACGGGCGCGGTCTGGTCGGGCGTGCAGTGCTCGAGGATGCGCTGGATGACGCGGCAGCCGTACGGGTGCGTGGACAGCGCGTACACCTGCCCCGCGAACGCGTTGATGATGAACTGCAGCGCCGCCGGCTCCACGCACTCGATGCACTTCTGCACCTGTGGGATAATGCAGTGGTTAGTGTGATCACATCTGATTGTAAGGGCCCGTTTATATGGGATGCTGAGAGGCCGCGCGGCGGCCGGGCGATAGCTTTATTTGGTACACCAAAAGGCCGCGCGGCTACCGCGTACTACCACCTCGTGGCCACCGCGTACGCGTTTTCAAGAGTCGACTGTTATAGTAAAATAAGCTCTTCAGTAACTACATTTAAAGTTAAAATTAATTTATCAAAGAATCCCTTGACTGCGAAGTGAGCGGCGCGCGCCAGAAAACTCGAGCAACTTAGATCGATCATAGTTGTCCAAAAGAATTTTAATCTTTTGACCTGATAATAAGAGTTTTCTATAAACGAAACTAGTAACTAGTCTAATACGCGGCCGCGTAAAAGTTTTTGCGTCGTCTAACTACAACCTAAGTGAACTGTAGTCGATCAGTACAAATGGTTTTTTAGATAGCTGTGGTAGTTTAGTAACTCGATTAATGCGAACAAGACTTTAGCGTTACCTAACGTCGCTAATTGCTTTCTAGTGGTTGGTAGAACTTTGAGGACGTGGATTTGTAATTTGAACATCGAATTTAGGTGATCGCTATGCGTGGTGAAAGCAGGCATAAAGCCCACGCTGCGTGGAGCGCAACGTAAAGGTGTTCTACCAAGGACCTTCTTTTCCACTTGATAATCTGGGGACGTGCCCAAGACCTTCACAATCGAGAGGCACAGACTGTCCTCAAAAAAAAATTTTGGAATTACTAACAGTTTTACATTTCCCCTTTGATCACACACACGGCTTTCCCAGTAGGTATTAAAATTGCAGCCAGAAATCACGACAGACGATCGGTTGCGTCAGAAATTGTTTCTAATGACCTTATCAGAAATTCCGATTAGCCAAAACGCATGTAAGTCGCGCCGACAACGCTCGCAGCTTGCTCATGAATCGTGACTTAGAAACACTAAATCCACGGTATTGCAATTTAACATGCAAGCCACAAATTGATTCCAGAGAGCCCGCGTTGTTAAATTGATAAAATTAAAAATCTCTACAATAGTAGTGCAGTTTATGGGCAGCTTGATTTGTAAAACATCCGAAAAGATTTACAGCCCGTTAGCGAACAATCGTGCGCATGAGACGTTCAGTGCAGGATGTGAAGTAGAGCGTGGGGGGAAACATAAGACTGTGTAAGCTATTTGTTTCTACAGAAATATTTATGTAGTTCGATGTAAAGTAAAATTCGCGGAAGACGATTTCTTTATTATAACTACTCACCCTACTTTGACGCGTCATTTGACGAATATTTATCGGTATAACTAGTCGACGTAATAAAATTGAGACCATCACTCACTTTTAGTGAGTAAGTGGCTTGAGTTGCGAATCAGAAATAATGTAAGATCAGCGTGGCGTGGATCGCCGGGACTAGTTAATTAATCTGTTGACGTAGATATTAGGCTAATAATACAATCTAATGAGAACCTCCTCCTTTTTTTGAAGTCGGTTGAAAATAAATAATAATATATTGGCAAATCATCTGCGAAATGTTTTCGATACGGTAGACTACGATACACGTACGACAACTATTCAATCTCGTAACGTAACCAAGTAGGTAGAGTAGCGCGGCCCCAATCAAAAACATACTTCATTGTATATATTACGAAATAAGTTTCTACGATTTTAGAGTATGTACCTACATATTTTGACAAATGATTTCTCATCTCAAACTCCATTTTATTTTTGCAAGTAGTCTTATAAAAAGCACTTTTATACACGTCCCAGTATTAACCCTACCACTGATTCGGGAAGAAGAAACATCGCAAGTAGGGATTGCAATCCGGTCCGGCGGATCCGGTGTGTTTTTGGACCTACCGGATCCGGTGAGTTGGCGCCGGATCCGGTGGCGGATCCGGTAAAGCAAAAAATACGAACATGAACTGGGAAAGTCGAGCGCGCGCGCATTTGCCAGATCGCTAGACGTACCGCCACTACATTGCATTTTCCTTTGCAAAAAATAAATGATTCTTGTTTTATTGTTTCTTAGGAGTCAGATTATTTCTTAAAAAGAACTGAAGTTGAATTTATAAGTACCTACTTTAAAAGACTGTTTTGTTGATTTAAGTCTGTGTAAATTATTAATAAGAGTTTATTAGTATTATTACTTAAGTACTTTCAGATACTTACATACAGCAATAAGTGAGAGTCAGACTGATTACTAACTTTATTATTTAGAATTTTCATAATTTTATTAGAACAAATAGTACGTACTTACCAAAAAATACAATCAATACCGAAAAATATAAATAAAAGTGACTTTATTTTCCATAAATACGTATTTTATTTATCTTTTTATGTACCTACTATTATCTACATATACTTACATATAATAAATCTGTAGAGAGGTAAATTCTGTACATGAAATATATTTTCAAAATAACTATCAGGGGGTGATTAGTGATCGATACTGATGCCAAAAATGCAATCAGTAAAATTTTTGTCTGTCTGTCTCTCTGTCTGTATGTTCCTTATAGAAACAAAAACTACTCGACGGATTTTAACTAAACTTGGTACAATTATTCTTCATACTCCTGGGCAGGTTATAGTATAGTTAGGAATTCCCACGGGAACAGGAATTAGCGGGAAAATCCTTTTGTATGAAAAATCTAAACCGCTTAAGTTAGACGCTTGAAATTTGGCATGCAAGTACCTTAGTAAACTTAAAGCTTACTTACAACAGGATATTGCAAAATTCCCACGGGAACGGGAGTTAGCGGGAAAAAACATTTGTATGAAAAAATCTAAACCGCGTCAGATAGATGAAGGGGGTAAAACGGGATCCACGCGTACGAAGTCGCGGGCGGCTGCTTCAAAACTAAAAATCACTAAATACTAGACCAAGTGACTTTGCAATCCGGCCGGATCCGTCCGGATCCGGCCGGATTAGCGTCAATCCGGTGAAATCCGGCCGGATTGAAAATGATACCGGATTGCAATCCCTAATCGCAAGGCCACTCAGTCACTACTATTCATATTATTCTATGAATTAATTATGACTTTGTACCCAAATTTATAAACGGAATCATCAGTCAAACTGCACTCAACTCACGGGCGGTATATAAGGTGTCTGTAGTCTTTGGTAGCAGCTGGTATATTAGTAGTGGCCGTGTGGTGACGGCAGAGTAGAATACATTTGTCACCAACCCCTACTCTTCCCGCGGGTGTCGTAAGAGGCGACTACACATCAAACAGAGAACGGGCAGCAGCGCTCTCTGACAAACATAAATCTTTTAAACTGCGATCTCCAACCCGCCTGCCAAGCGTGGGGATTATGGCAAAACCCTCTACTATAGTGGAGGAGGCTCATAGTCCAGCAGTGGACTGTAAAGGGCTGTTGATGATGGTATATTAGTCTCAATGACTCACCACGTGGTTCCCGTTCTGGTCCTTGACGCACTTGAGCACGTGTCCGTCGAGCTCGCGCACCACCTCCTGCTGCTGCTCGGCCGGGATGGACTCCAGCGCCTTCTGGATCACGCGGCAGCCGTACATCTGCAGCGCCAGCGCCAGCACGTGACCGCGCACCTGGAAATTAACACAAATAATAATAACAACTGACATTCATGGAGCGTGGACGCTAAGGCCCAGAACACAAGGTGAAACGCAACTGCAACGAAACTGCAACTTTCTGATGAATGAAACTGAAAGTTTCAAACTGGTTGCGTCATGTGTGGTCTCTCAACGGACGCTATGGCAGAAACTTAGATGCAACTCAAAAGTAACTAGCGGTTGCAGTTTCGTTTCACCGTCTGTTCTGGGCCTAATACTCTGTAATGCAGCTTCAACCACACCAATGCGTGCTGATCGCCATGTTTGGACTTCTTTTTCTTCTTCGCGCGGACTGTCATGGGTCGCGCGAAATGTCATTAGCCTATGATCGCGCCGGCGATGGCGATCTGTATACGTTGGTGTGGTTGAGCTTAAGCGATTTAGTGCTGCATGTTTTGAACTGAGTCAGTGCCTGAGATATGGGAGCGGCACGGAAGGGTGTTATTGTGACGTCAAACGACAGCGAGTGCTTCAAATGTGCTTCAGACTTGTATGCTCTTACTGACTCAGTTATCCTCTAGACCTGTAATAGTCGCGTTAACCTATCGTGGTAAGCTTAAATGTTTGTGTTACGATTGGGATCACCACAATAGTTCAGTGGCAGTGGGCACTGTGGGCCCGGCAGAGGTCAAAAGTCAAAAAAATCAGTTGTCTATTAATCTTTTTTTATTTACGCAGATAGGTAGTTAAAAACTTCTGGTTTTAGAAAATATTAAAATCAACATGTTTCTTAACAAATTGGTATACTTTTACGAGTCAGAAGTCTTTGATTGCAAGCCTAAGAACGGTTGCTATCAGCGCGTCCTAAGTTTATTGCTTTGTTTACATACAGTTTCGTTTATAAATTGTATTTAAAACTAGTGCATTTAACAATAGAAATCCTGAAAAAGGGTAATATGTAACTTTTTGTCAAAATTTTAAAGTTATATGGCTGGTATTAACATGTCAAATATGATGAAAATAATTGATAATTCATTGAATATTTTTAGACTTTTAGTTTAGTTCCCCGTCGTTCCCCGTAACAATTTATACGTCATTTGTTAGCTGACAGTACGCTTTATTATATTTTGTATACAATTTCACCCAAGAGTACCAAAGGTCTTGACAGTAGGGGTCCAAAGTTGCATTATTATCTTAGTTTTGAAATCCAAAACAATTTATTTTTCTGTTTTATGCTAAGAAATTCATTGCTCGTTTTCAAGATTATTTGTATTTGAGCAATGGAATGTTAAAAAAGTCACGAATGCTGAAAAGTCTCGTCTTGTGTACCAGCATCTAAAGTTATCATTAGTTAGTGATGAGAAAAATATTGACATGAATAATTAAGAAAATAAGAGTATGCAAAAAAATTGTGAGTATTTTAAAAAGGCATCTCAGTCTACAAAAGTTTTCAAAAATAGACATTCTGACTGGTTAAGCGATCTTTATATCACTGGTTTGCGAAATTTACCTAAAAAAAGGAAGTCTTCTTTACCCAAACAGTGTATTACTTTAATTTCAGCAGAATAATATAATATTATACAATGTTTTACAAAGTATTTTATTTTATTAAGAAGTTTTAAACTTTTGACCGCTATTACATAGACGCGGGACCACCGTGGTGGGGTCCGTCCGAACCCGCATGTTGTTATCCCTTGAAGAGCTCAATAGTGACTAAAAATTCATGAAATTATGTAGTTTCCCATCACCCACGCGTACGTTCCTCGAACAATTTCGTGAAATCAAGCGTTGCTAATTGCAAAAACTTTTGGCCTATCCTGTATAAGAATGATACAAAGTTTCGAAAGAAATCAAATTTATCTTTAGCCAAATAAAACTTTAGCTATCAAGCTATACACTGCGGCATCTTATGTAGCTGTAACATGTGCTATTTTGCAACGAAAATGTATCTGATGTGATAAACTGACTGCATTTATGTATATTATTTTGCTGTCTAGATATTTCATTGTGCCATTAGCATTTTTTTTTAAACTATACACATTCTGGTTCTTTAGACATCGCGGTGTCAGTTTCAAGGATTTTTCAACTTGTTTTTTATTAAAGTTCAAGCAACAAATCAACCGAAATTTCTGGTAAAAATTGCTGAAAATCTTTCTGTATGTATATTAGATAGACTAGTCAATATTTAGGTTTCATCTTTTTAATTAATTAAAAAGTGTAAGTGTGTTAGTTTTAGTGTTGTTGTGTACGTTATTGACTCAGTGTCAGTAACATTAATCAATATAGTGAGGTCACTCGAGCGTAAAATTATTTAAACAAATCACGTACCTACAAACATTCATACCAGACAGATATTTACATTAAAATTATTTTTCGATTTTATTATAATCATAAATGTCAGAGGTCTATCCAAAAGAAATGTGTAAGGTACCAAGTTCACTACGTGATTTGGACAGCGCTATTGATATTGGCGAAGATGATTCATTGTCATTAATATTGATGATGCCGTTAGCGGCACACCTATTACTAATTCGCAAAGAATATTTTAACAGTTATATTTGAAAACTATCCTAGAAACTAGTTTTGCTGATATCTACAAAATGCACTAACATGATTAACAAACTTACTTTTTGCGCTAGTGTGGTCTTCTGTTCCGTAGTTCCAAACTCAAAGAATTTTTGTATCACATAGTTTCCGAAAACATCCGTCATTAGACTGTACGCGGCGCCGATGATCTCGTTGAATACCAT